GTTGGGTTATTTGTATTTTGGGTACCACGTGGAAATTCATGTACAGGCTGTCACTGGTGGGGGCCACGGGGGCATGCTTATTATTATTCCCTCTTTTTTTTTTTTTTTTTTCAAATAAAGACAACACCAAAAATAAAACCTCTCGCTCCCCCCCACCTGCGATCCAATCATATAATTTTAAATATATATTTCAGTTTCAAAACTTATTATTATTATTATTTAATATGATTTTTAAAAAAAATTTCGATTATTTATGTTTCTTTTTTAAATTTCAAAAATCTTTTATTTATAATATGCTTATTAATTAATAAAAATTTAACTTAATAAAGGTACATTAACTTAATTTTTTATTTAATTAAAATTAATTAATGTAATGAAATTATTAGAAGTAATTATGAGAATTAAAAAAATATTATTGATTTATATAAAATTTTGATTACACCGTCTTTTAATTTCTATTATTTTCAATAATTTAATGATGTTAGTTTATAAAAATACTATAATTAATTATTTGATTATAATAAATCAATAATACAAATTTTAATATAGAATTAATTTATTTTGATTTAAAATTTTATTAAATAAATGAATTACTTATTTACTAAAACTTGTTTTAACAACCTCCCAAAATTTTAATAACATTTATCATCTAATACCAAATACAGATACTTGCTTTTAAATCTAAGCATAATTCATCTGATGTAGACAAGTACGTTTATACTTCACCGCTAACCGATATTGTTTGCTTTAGCCCGTTACGTATCGTCGTCAATCTCACGATTTTAAAATGCGACTCCTATGGAGAAGTTTCCACACCTAAGTAAACTCCATCGAACTACGCGGTGTGTGACTCTGATACCATTTATAACAGCTTAAACCATTTGTAACAGCTTAAATTCACTGCTAACAGATATTGTCCACTTTTGATCGTTTCAGTTAGGGGTATTGGAATAGATTTGAAGGGACAAAATTGGAAATTTGGAAGGAAAAAGGAAAAGCAAAGGATGGGGACAGCTAGGGTTTGGTTATTGTCAGCCTAAAACATGTAATGTGTAGTGTGTATCCTTTTTTCTTTTTTACTTTTCTGTCCTTGTGTAATGGCATGCGTTAAACTACTCATCATTACTTTTTAACTGCCCAATAAAGGAATTACCTTTTTCACCTTCTTTCTATATATTATTGTTTTTATGCTCTTTTCTTTTTCTTTTTATTTTTCCATCATTTCACATCATACTCTTCATTTTTCTAATATAAACATGTTTATATCCATTAATTTTTTTTTTTCGATTTAACTTGGATTAAAAATTAGAAAAAATAAAACGATTCAGTTGGCAGGTTGACATTTTTTTATAGAGTCAACCCGACAAACCCGGTTATAACTCAACCCTACTTCTAAAAAAAATTAAGAATTTTAGTGTTTTGTAACTGAGGTTAATAATGTGTTCTGACTTCTAAATGTTTGATATTTGAATCTGATGTTAATAACTTAAAAACCCAACAAAAATAGAAGATTGGGTTAAGTTGGGTTGGATTGTGATCTCTATTCAGGTTACTTTAGTCACCAACCTAACCAACTCAACCCGTATACATTGAAACCTGAGTAAACAAGAGATACATGAATGAACCGAGACTACATTTGAGTGAAAGCAATCTTAAGGATAAACGTGTTTTGTTTAGTATGTGGAGGTGACTTATTGAAAATTTTACTAAGATACATGTGAGTGAAGACAAAACATGCTGAAATGACTCAGGTTAGTTGGTGGGGATAGTTTTCACTATTAGAATCGAAGAGTAAATAATGTGATCATCTCGTAAGGGATGCTCAATGTCAGGGTTAGGTACCGAATATGGATTCCGAATCTTGATTTTCTTTTTAATTTATTTTTTGAATTAAAGGGAAAAAAATGTTTTTTATTGCAAGATTTTAAAACAATTCACATAATTTAATGAGATAAAATACAAAATGTCAAAGACCAAATTCCAAGGAAATACACAAATTTTCAAAGCAAGAGCTCAAATCCTTATAAATAAGGATCTAATTTCTGACAAAATTATTTGAATTTTAAAATATTTAAAAAAAAATGAAACTATAATAATAATAATTAATTTGTGGATTATAAGTTAATTGGGTAATTAATAAATATTAGTCAATGTCTAATTATTATTATTATTTTTACTATGATCATTTTTATTGGGATGCCGGTCATAGCGCCATTCCATAAGCAGCCATGTGTTTAAATTAATTAATTAACTAACGGTTACTTTTGGTTTCATCCAATACCCATATCCCACGTGGTTTAATTACATATTATATTTTTACCTACAGTTAAAATTATGACATTATACGGTTAGTAATTTTAATTATTAATATGCCAAATCATATAACATATTTGACAAGTTGGATTGAGTTGATTAATTGGAATGGAGATACAATGATACAGAGAAACGAGAGACAGAGAGTCGAGGGAGAGAGAGCCTACCATCGAGGAAGAAGTAGACGTGGTGGTTGAAATGGAGAACGAGGTGGTTCGAGGAATAGAAAGGGAAGAACTAGAGTCATAGCTAGTTGGGTAAGAGGCAGTGAGACTGGAGGGATGAGAGATGAGGGTCGATGATAGAGAGACAGACTTGAGAGGAACGAAGATAGCCGAGAGAGACGCAACGCAGCAGGTAAATAAATAAAAATAAAAATAAAAACCTTAACTTGTAATGTAATGTTATTTGAGTCTGATTCGGGTCAACAATAAAGCTCCATTCCTCGAATTGAATTGGGTTTTTGTTTTCACAAAGAATCCAATCCAACCGAACCCAAATTAAAAAAAAAAAAAAAAAAAAAAACAAGTAAACCGATTAGCTCGATTTTTATTTTCTCGAAGATTTGTTTTTTTGAAACCCTAAATGATATGAACAAAACGAGACAAAATGGCCAATCAAAAAGCTACCAACTTCAAATATCAGCCGTTGATATGATCAAAAGGGTCTTCAACTAATTATATTCTTTTTCCCAAACCTATTCTCTCAACACCAAATTGTTTTTTTCTCCCAACAATTTTATTTGGGGACGGGAATCGGATTCTCTTTCTCGTCTTCTTCCTCTCTTCCATTCAACCTACAAATTTAGAAGATTCCCTCATTACCCGCACAAAATAACGTTAACCGTGCCTAATTTGATTCATAATCCGACACGACATTACCACGCTCATACCTAACCCATCTCAAAACATAATAAAACACTTCACTGTTGCTCGAGATTTAAGCTCAAAAGCTAACAACTTACACAACTACGACACTAGATATATAAGTATAAAACACAACATTGAGTGATAGAATGTACTACAAATCTTTTCTCGAGCTCGAGTACTATTTTTTTTAAATCAATGTCGTGATGTAGCTGTAAATTTTCACGTGGCATGTCGAGTCGAGAGGCGTTTGGTTTGTGAATGAGAAGGTAAAAAGAAAAAGGGTGAAAAGATAGAGATGCAGGCAAGTTGTGTTGAAGGGTTTGCATAATTAGTAGTACAAATGGTCCCTCAAACCACAGCCTTTACAGCCACCATTGCCATTTTTTCTAACCTTTTCCCCTTGCCTTTCTGTCTTCCCACTCTGGAATTTGGATCCCCTTCACTCCCCATTTCTCTCTCTCTAAATAAAAAATAAAAAATAAAAAATAATATTTAGAATTGTGAGCCTCGTATAGTCAAAAGTGACTAAAATGTTCGAGGACTCCAAAGAAATGAGTCGCGCCTCGATTTAGGAAGGCTATTCGAGAGCTCCATAAGCCTTAGAAAAGGCTTATAGTGTACTTTGTTCGGGAGGAGAATTGTTGAGGATTATTGAAAGTGAGTCCCACATTGGTTACTTTAGTTGAAGACCACGGGTTTATAAGTGAGGAATACTATTTCCATTGACATGATGCATTTTGTGAAAGCCCAAACAAAGCCACCAGAGCTCATGCTCAAAATTGGGATATTGAGTTGAATTTTAAAAAATATTTTGTTTATGTTTAAATTGACCAATAAAATTTAAATTTCTTTATGATAATTAAACGCATTATTGGTGCTAATTAACTTCCTTAATCATTGATTTGACTATAATTACGGATTTAAAAAATGTTATTTTCTCAAGTTGGGAAATTATTAATTATTCCATATTTGAAAATTTCAACAATATGGGCTCACCTGGTCCAATACGGCCCATGTTTAAGTGGGCTTCATTGAAGTAGTTAAAGCCCATAGTGGATGTTCAAAATAGATAAAAGAATAACGTAGTTATGAAATTAGTTGTTTGTTTAATAATGGCAATTAAAGTTAATTTAATCATTTACTAATAAATCAATTATCAAAATATTTTTTAAACTTTAAATCCTACGTAGGAGTACGTATATATTACCTGTGTAAACCCGGTCCCATCTCTGTCACTTATTTCATCCTCTATATCTGCGAAACTCCCATTTATTTTTACATCGGGTGAAGATTCTCGATAGAGAATTCATACATAAAGGTAGGGCCGGATAAGGATCCCTTATCCCTAATTCGTCAGCGGAGTAAACAAAGGGTGTATTTTGTTTGCGGTTTTAGGGAAAGGTCGAGCCTTGATTAAGGGGAGACTATTCAAGGGCTTAAGAGATGCTCTATGGTGTATTTTGTTTGAGAGAAAGATGGGTAGGAGGAGTCCTTCGTGATCCTACATCGGTTCGAGAGGGGAAATAAACAGTGTTTATAAGCGGGTGGATTCCTCTCTCTATCAAATACGTTTTCAAAACCTTGGGAGAGGCTTAAAAGAGAAAGCTGACCATATCTGCTATGGGTGGGCTTGAGCTCTTACACCTACGTTGGCTGGTATGGTTCCTAGTCGTTTTCGGTGCATACAGATTGAAGGGGATGGATGATATGAAATATGAAGTATAAGGTATAAATTTGAAGGGGATGGATGATATCAAATATGATCTGCCAATTGGATGAACTCACCATATTCTCTGCATTTATAATCTTTGTCTTCTCCTTCCTCTCTTATCACCTGCTCTGTTTTCCCCAATTTCAATTCCAATTCTGATTCCGAATCCGATTCATTATGAACAACCACCAATCTCCGCCGCAACACTCCGCCGTAATCCCCCCCCAATTTGGGGATTCCGATCACTGTTTCTGGTTCGACGATTCCACCATCCTCGACATCGATTACTTCGTGAAAACCTTAGCCGGAATCAACGCCAAAGGCGTTCGATCCGATTTAGTCGCCTCTCTCATAACGCATTACGCTTCCAAATGGCTTCCGGATCTCTCCGACGAGCCTCTCGATTCACACAATTCCTGGTTGAATTTCACTAATTCGACCGATTTTCAGGAATCGCCGGAAACTATCACCAATTCCTGGATGAAGAAGAGATTCTTCGTTGAGACGTTGGTTGGAGTATTGCCGCCGGAGCGGGATTTGATTCCGTGTAATTTTTTGCTGAGGCTTCTCCGGACGGCGAATATGGTGGGAGTAGAGCCGCCGTACAGGGTGGAGCTGGAGAAGAGGATTACTTGGCAGTTGGATCAGGCGTCGTTGAAGGAGGTCATGATTCCGTCGTTTAATCATACGTGTGGAACGGTTTTGGATGTGGAATTGGTGATTCGGCTTGTGAAGAGGTTTGTGAGCTTGGATGACGGCGTTAGGAGCGGCGCCGCCTTGGTTAAGGTGGCGAAGTTGGTGGACTGTTACCTTGCGGAGGCGGCAATGGATTCCAATTTGGGTTTGCCGGAGTTCGTTGAGCTCGCCGGTGCTCTACCAAGCCATGCTCGAGCCTCCGACGATGGGCTCTACCGAGCCATTGATACCTATCTCAAAGTAAGGCTTCTTTCTCTTTTTGTACGCTCTTTTAATTAACTATATAATCAAATATTCAAAATTATTTTTATAAATAATATTGCATTTTTTAAAACTAATAATAATACCCATTTATTTAAACACATGGCTAACAAATCAAAATTTTAAAAAATAAAGTAAAATTTCTAAACTTTTAATTTTTTCTATTCAATTATTTTTTAAAAATGAACTGATCTATTAAATATAAATATAAATAAATTTTATATTTAATAAAAAAAACTTTCATAGCTTAAAATAATAAAAATTAGATTCGTAATTTTAAAAAGGTAGAGATGATATTTTGATATTGAAACTAAAATAATAATAATAATAATAATAATAATAATAATAATAAAAGGTTTATTCTAGAAGGGGTAAAAAAGGGAAAGAAATAAGAGGAGAGAAAAACGTAATACTTTAATTCTTAAAAGTTAATTAAAAATATCCTCAAAATTTTAAAATTTTAAATTTTTTTCAAAAAAATTCAAAAATATTATTATCGTTGATATATGTTTAAAAAATACTCATAAATTATCAAAATTGATATTAAAATTTTTGGAAATAATCAATAGACTACTTTCATCCATATAATAATGTTATGTTTTTTTTTTTTATAAATTATTTATTTTAAGTAAACGGCATTAATACTACTTTTAAAAAAAAAATTTGGGTATTTTTTAAACAAAGTATTAAAAATAAATGGTATTTTAATTTTTTAAAAAACTTAAAGTATTAATGAAACGTTTTAAAGTTTAAGATTATTTTTTTAAAAGTATTTTTAAAATAAAATATTAACGATATTCCTGTCAAATTAAACACAAAAATATTTTTAAGACCCTTTTAATAGTTTAATATTATTATTAAAAACTTTGAAATTTAGAAGCATTTCTAAATAATTAATTGGTATTTTTATTAGTTTAGTATATATATATATATATATTAAAAATGGTTTTGTTTCAAACAATTTTTTTTAATGATAATTACTATTTCTCAACATATTTTTTTAATTAAAAAATAAAAAATATTATAATAAATCGAATATAATTTTTAAAAACTCAAATTTAAATATTATAAGATAATCTTTAGTATTTAAAATTTTATTTATTTATTTTACTAGATAAGTAAGTAAATAAATAAAGTGAATGAGTCGGGTCATAGATTAGTCTGAGATTGGGATAGGTACGGTGACCAGAAATATAATCCATATCTTTTTAAGATAGGTTCTTGAAAGTTAAATAGATATTTCTAAACTTTAACGATCTCATATATCTTTATCAATACGATATTTTTTAACCGTTAAATCATGAAATTGTGAATGATGATAAATATCTTCTAAGTCAACTCGTAGCTAGAGAAAGAACGGAGAATTATCTTAACCAAATGATTATATATGTATTATGTGCATCTCAGGCACATCCGAATGTATCAAAGCAAGAAAGGAAGAGTGTATGCAGAGTAATGGACAGCAGGAAGCTATCAACAGAGGCATCACTCCACGCAGCTCAAAACGAGCGCCTCCCAGTCCGAGCTCTAATCCAAGTCCTCTTCTCCGACCACACCAAACTCAACTACCGCCACCCCGACTGGAGCGGCTATATCGGCGGAGGACGGAGCCCCTCCGCTGCTCTCGACCACCTCCCCACCAGGTGCCAATCCAAGAGAGAAACAACAGCCCAACAGATGGAGATTAAGAGGCTCAAAGACACGGTGCTGAGGCTGCAGAACCAGTGCAATCTAATGCAGGCTCAAATGGAGAGGCTGTCCGAGAAGAAGAGGGGGTTTTTCAAGTGGAGGAGGTTTGGGTTTAAGAACGCCGAGGAGGCCGACAAACATGATGCCCGCGGCGGAGATGTGGTGGAGGAGGCGGCGGCGGGGTTTGGGGGACACACGCCGGTGGACATTAAAGCCAAGTTGGTCAAACGTAGGACGCCCAACAAGACATGGCGGAAATCTATGTCTTGAAAATGCGTTTTTTTTATTTTTTATTTTTTTATTTTTATTTTTTATTATCTAATGTAATCTAACCTAACGCTCTCTTCCAATTTTTATGCATTATTATTATTACCAAAAAAAAAAAAAAAACTTTATTCTATATAATACTAATATTTTCACTTTCTTTATTTCACACGTGTACACGAGTTGAGTTACCATATGCAAGTTCTATAGTTATCCGGACGGCTGACAATTGATGGGTTAGTTAACAAATCCATATTGTCCCTGTATAACTGCATAACTCACATATACAAACAATAATCGTAATCAACTTGTAAAGTACAACTGTGGACTTCTACCTATTGTGAGAGGCTCACTACAAGAAGCTAACTGACAAACTTCACAGTAGTCTTCACAGGGTACAATTATAAGTCATAAAATATCATAGTTAGTTCTTGAGTCAGGTTTACAATTAGAGGTTAGTTAGTGAACCCCTAATATTAGAGGTTAGTTAGTGAACCCCTATAATCGTCTTTGTATAACTGCATACATCATAAACATATTTTAAGTTTCAGACATAGCACATTGATCTACAACTAAATACCTAATCATTAATTCCAGTTCATAGGATAATGCATATGTATTTCGGTAGACATACATAATAACATTCCATATGTGTCACCTCAACTCATTTTATGCTAAAATATTTATAATAGGTTTCTGAATTTTTTTAAAGTTAGAAGTAATTTTGTAAGATCGGAGAGAGATCGGTACAATTTAAAAATAAAATTTTTTTTTAATTAAAAATGTGAAAATATTATTGAATTTTTTTTAATTAAAAATGTGAAAATATTATTGAATTTTTTTAAGATTAAAAATAATTTTGAAACAAATGGTGATTAAAAAAAGTAATAAACAAAGGATATTTCTAATTTCAGACCGAAAAATAAATAAATAAATAAATAAATACTGCGGCAAAGGATATTTCTCAATTTTATAAAATTTCCATTTTCTTGCGTTCAGATATTTTGGATAAAGCTTAAGGTACAGTAATCAATGGCAATCGGAAACAAATCAGCGACATTTTGTGAGTTTAATCATCAATGGGTTCAAAGCTGGACGTGCCGTTATCCACTACAAGCCCACAAAATTCCCTCTTTTTTAACCATTAAACCCCTCTCAAAACCCCCCAGAACAATGCCCTGTACCTCCGGCCATGGCGGTTTTTGCTCAATCCTCTAATGTTCTCACCTATAATGACCGTTCCAATCCCCAAATCTCCAACAATTACAATCTCAAAGCCCTATCCTTCCCCAAAAATCTGCAAACCCACAAGCAAACGCTAAGAAAATCCCAAGAAATCTCAGTCCTAGGCGCCGCGGTCTCTAATTCCACCATCATTCAAACTCAGAACTTAGAATTACAACAACTATGCCTTCTGGGGAAGCTAGAACAAGCGGTGAAACGTATGGAATCGATGCTAGAGCTCCGGATTGAGGTGGAAGAAGATGTTTACATTGCTTTGTTGAGGCTATGTGAGTGGAGAAGAGCGCCCGATGAAGGATCTCGAGTCTACGGAGGTGTTTTGAGCTCCAAATCTCGCTTGGGCGTTCGGCTTGGCAATGCTTTATTGAGCATGTTCGTCAGGTTTGGCAATTTAACTGATGCCTGGTATGTGTTCGGTAAAATGTCTGAGAGGGATGTGTTTTCTTGGAATGTATTGCTGGGTGGATATGCTAAGGCGGGGTGTTTTGATGAGGCTTTGAATTTGTATCATAGAATGTTGTGGGCTGAAATTAGGCCTGATGTATATACATTTCCCTCTGTTTTGAGAACTTGTGGTTGCATTTCTGATATAGCTAGAGGCAAGGAGATTCATACGCATGTCATAAGGTTTGGATTTGAGTTGGATGTAGATGTGGGTAATGCTTTAATCACCATGTACGTGAAATGTGGTGACTTAAGTAATGCACGCAAACTGTTTGATAAAATGCCAAAGAGAGATAGGATTTCATGGAATGCTATGATTTCAGGGTACTTTGAAAATGGAGGGGGATTGGAAGGATTGAGATTGTTTTTCATGATGCGTGAGCTCTCAGTCGATCCGGATTTGATAACTATGACTAGTTTAGCATCTGCTTGTGAGCTTCTTGGTAACCAGAGATTAGGGAGAGAAATCCATGGAGTTGGGGTTAAATCCGAGTTTGGGGATGATGTTTCGATGAACAATTCTTTGATTCAGATGTATTCGAGTCTTGGCCATTTGGGGGAAGCAGAGAAAATCTTTTCACGAATGGTGTCGAAAGATGTGGTATCGTGGACGGCGATGATAGCGAGTTATGACAGTCATAAGCTGCCTCTTAAGGCTGTTGAAACTTACAAAACGATGGCGTTAGAGGGCGTAATGGCGGATGGGATTACTTTAGTTAGTGTATTATCTGCTTGTGCTTGTTTAGGCCATTTGGATTTGGGTATAAGGCTTCATGGGATTAGTATCAAGACTGGCTTCATATCACATGTCATGGTCTCAAATGCTCTCATTGATATGTACTCAAAGTGTAAATGCGTCAACAAGGCCTTAGAAGTATTCCACAAGATCTCGGGAAAGAACGTCATATCTTGGACTTCACTCATCCTTGGTCTACGGATTAACAATCGAAGTTTTGAGGCGCTATTTTTCTTCCGTCAGATGAAGGAGTCAATGAAACCAAATTCTGTAACTCTGATTACGATCCTATCGGCATGTGCTCGAATAGGAGCTCTAATGCGTGGAAAAGAGATTCATGCTCATGCTCTACGTACTGGTGTTGGGTTTGATGGCTTTTTACCTAATGCTATTCTAGACATGTATGTAAGATGTGGAAGAAATGTGCCTGCACTAAACCAATTTAACTCGCAAAAGAAAGACGTGACGGCGTGGAATATACTGCTTACAGGTTATGCTGAGCAGGGACAAGGCAAGCTTGCTGTCGAGCTATTCGACGAGATGCTTGAATCAGAGATAAACCCAGATGAGATTACCTTTATTGCTCTATTATGTGCCTGCAGCAGGTCAGGTATGGTTATGGAAGGTTTGGAGTACTTCAATGAAATGAAAAACAAGTATAATCTGACTCCTAACCTGAAACATCACGCATGTGTGGTCGATCTACTCGGCCGTGCTGGGCAATTGGACGATGCTTATGATTTTATACAGGATATGCCAATCGAGCCAGATGCAGCCATATGGGGAGCCTTGCTAAATGCTTGCAGAATTCACAGAAGCGTTCAGCTCGGAGAACTTGCAGCGTCACGTGTATTCGAAAAGGACGATAAAAGCGTTGGGTATTATGTTCTTCTCTGCAATTTCTATGCTGAATGTGGTAACTGGGAGAAGGTTTCAAAAGTTAGAACACTGATGAGGGAAAGAGGACTAGCGGTAGATCCTGGTTGCAGTTGGGTGGAAGTAAATGGAAAAGTTCATGCTTTTCTCAGCGGCGACAATTTTCACGCTCAGTCAAAGGAAATTAATGGGGTTTTGGATGGATTTTATAGCAAGATGAAGGAAGCTGGTTTGGGAGATTTGAAGAGTAGTGAAGTTGAATCTTCGAGAGCTGACGTTTTTTGCGGGCATAGCGAAAGGCAAGCCATTGCGTTCGGGTTGATCAATACTGCCCCGGGGATGCCTATCTGGGTGACAAAGAACATGTACGTGTGCCGTAGCTGTCACGACATGGTAAAGTTCATCTCGAGGAACGTTCGTAGAGAAATATCGGTGAGGAACGTCGAAGAGCATCACCATTTCAAGGATGGAGTCTGCTCGTGTGGGGACGAGGGATATTGGGGGAAACCTGGTACAGGATGAAACTATTTTTTGGGATTCTACATAATCTTAATCATTCATAGCGCAACAACGACATCGGAACAACAGAAGATCACTTCCTGGTTGCTCGGACAGTGTATGAACGAAACGATCGAAAACGATGCAAGAAAATGCTGGTGCGGCCATGGACGTCGTTGAGGTAAGCTCTCTGAAGGAAATATGTCAAATGGAATCCATGTAGCTTTAGTATATCATTATATGAAATTCCCAATTAGAGTAACAAGCTGAAGTATTCATGTTAATACTTGATAAATTACAGAATGAAAATACTCATATTTGCTAGTTTAGCATTGTCACTTCCTAAGCCATTGATTACTCAAAAAGTAAGGAAAATGAAGGATCCAACAACTCGAACCTTTACTAATGTCAAAGGGGACGTGCTGCGTCGGGTGAGGTGGGTGGCATCTGCGAGGTGGTCTATGTGTTGATTGTGAAGTCGTCTCATCTATGAGGATTGAGGTTACCTGCGTGTGAACTGCGAAGTCATCTCGTCTATGAGGACTAAGGTCATCTGTGTGCGAGGTGCTGGAACTGAAACTAAAAGATGGGTAGTGTGATGCTGAAAGAAAAGAAAAGAAAAAAAACCCTCAAAACTAAAGAATCAGATTGGGTCGACTCGAGTTTTTGCCCTATGAACCTGAAATCAATCAGACCAGTGAAAAGAAAAATCCAACACAACCCAGCCCTTATGATTCAAATTGGGTCGGTTCAGTTTTTCGGGTTATCGGGCTAGATATACACCCCTAAAAAGTATTATATATGTACAAATTAATAGGTCAACCACGTGTTCGTATATATACACACACACATATAGTCATAAAAGAACCTTAGATATTTTGGGTTAAATCTGAGATATTATTAGAAGGAAAGGACATCACATAAAGGTACAATAGCTTGGAATCACAATTGAATATTTGAAAATGAAATGAAATGTCTCAAAATTAAATATTTATACATCAAATAATATCTCTCTTGATATTTGTGTGGAAAAATTTAAATACTAAATAATAAATTAATTATAGCATCTTCCTTCATTAATTAATCATATTTAAGGTTTTTTAAAGCATTATTATATTATTTTATAGATGATAAAACATAAAACTTATATTAAAATTTTAAATTTATTATTTATCATTTAAAAAAAAAAAAAAAAAAAAAAAAAAATAAAATTTTTGGTATAAATTAAATATTCCGGTCCAATCATTTTTGGACATTCTCTGGAGATCGGCTTTTGCCACAAGGGAGTACGCCATCGGCCGTTTACCAACTATGGAGGAGCCAGCTCCCGATCAATCTGCCACCGTAAACAGGTGGTTCCGCCGTCTTCCGGCGACCCTCAGCCCTAAAAATTCCGTCCTTGCAGAGATATCAGGTGCAGTCGGCGACCTCGGGACTTACATCCCCATCGTTCTCACTCTCACTCTGGTCTCCCATCTCGATCTCGGGACAACTTTAATCTTTACCGCTCTTTACAATATCGTTACTGGCCTCCTCTTCGGCATTCCAATGCCGGTTCAGCCGATGAAATCCATCGCCGCCGTCGCCGTCGCTGAGTCTACTCATCTCACTCTCCCTCAAATTGCCGCCGCGGGCCTTTCCACAGCTGCTGTCCTCCTAATACTCGGCGCCACTGGCCTTATGTCCGTTCTCTATCGATACCTCCCGCTGCCGGTCGTCCGCGGTATTCAGCTCTCTCAGGGCCTTTCCTTCGCCTTCACTGCTATTAAATACATTCGGTATGATCAAGATTTGGTCACCTCTAAATCCGGCGGATCTCGGTCCTGGCTTGGATTTGACGGCCTATTAGTTGCCCTAATTTCTTGTTTGTTTCTAATTTTGACCACCGGAGCTGGCGATTCTCATAATGGAGAACCGTCGTCTTCCGAATCGCATAGTGCTTCTGAATCTCGTTCTGGCCGTCGCATTAGAAGGTTACGAATGTTATCTATGATTCCTGCTGCTCTGATTGTGTTCTTGTTTGGATTATTGATCTGTTTTCTTCGCGATCTTTCCGTTTTGAAATACCTAAAATTCGGCCCATCGAAATTGCATCTTCTGAGAATCACATGGGAAGATTGGAAAATAGGGTTTGTAAGAGCTGCAATTCCCCAAATTCCTCTTTCGATTTTGAACTCTGTAATTGCAGTTTGCAAATTGTCAGGGGATTTGTTTCCAGATCGTGAAGCTTCCGCCATGAGTGTGTCCATAAGTGTTGGGATAATGAACTTCGTCGGATGCTGGTTCGGCGCAATGCCGGTCTGTCACGGCGCCGGTGGCCTCGCCGGGCAGTATCGGTTCGGCGGCAGAAGTGGCGCATCGGTGGTGTTTTTAGGGATTGGGAAACTGGTTTTGGGATTGGCGTTTGGGAATTCGTTTGCACAGGTTTTGAATGAGTTTCCAATTGGGGTTCTTGGGGTGCTTCTTCTATTTGCAGGGATTGAATTGGCTATGGCTTCCAGGGACATGAACAGTAAAGAAGAATCATTTGTTATGTTGGTTTGTGCTGCTGTTTCACTCACAGGGTCCAGTGCTGCGTTGGGTTTTGGCGTTGGGATTGTGCTGTTTCTGCTTCTGAAACTGAGAGAATTCGACTGTTCTTCCTGTTCTTGCTTTGGGTTTCACAAGATGAAGCCCAAATCTGATGCTGAAGAAGAAGAAGAAGAACAAGGAACCCTGTTGTTAGCTTGAAGAGAAAAAAACGGTGTGTTTTCTTCTTTTTGATCTTGGCAGACACTGAATGTCTTTATAAATAGTTTACCCTTTTTATGTCTGCTGATATCTGCATTGTGCTGTCACTTGTACATATAATCTTGTCACTGAATGAGTTTGGTTGTTCATATTGGATTTCCACTTACAGATGTTCATCTGCGGTAGGATTAGAACTTTGGCCGACTCGGTTAACCGTTTCATTCCGAATTATAAATCAAGTTATCTACTATTCTTAACGGTCAAAGCGAACCTTTCATTTCGAATTATGAATCAAATCTCCTCAATTAGGATTCGAACCTACGACGTATAGGTTAACACTTCCATCCCAAATTATGAATCAACCTACGACGTATAGGTTAACACTTCCATCCCAAATTATGAATCATCTCCCCAAGTAGGATTTGAAACCTATTGGTTAATAGCCGATTGCTCTACCACTAAGCCACTGAGGAACGACGATAAATTGGGTATCAAAGAATTAAATTTCCGTTCTCAACCCATGACCAATATGAGCTCTCAAGGTTTCCTTCCTAACTCTCGGAACTTCTTCGTAGGGGCTCCGTTCCGTGTCCCATGAAAATAAATGAAAAATTGTGTCTTATTAGTGAATTTTTGCCTACTTAAGTATGGAAATAAAAGAAGACTCTCAGTACCCTTCCCTCCCCGACCCATAGATATCTATAATTTTATAAAACTATTTCGAAAATTACCATGGCTAAAATAATTATTAAAAATAATGGAACCATATTCTTAGCACATTTTAAAAAAATAAACAATAATGTTTCGTTGTCTAAAATTCCAAGGAATCTTAAAATAATTTAAAATAGATTGAACTCATCTAATTTGTCAAAATTAATTACCATTTTTTAAATAAAAGAACGACCACGTCGGACTCCTCGTCCACCGGCGACCGAGAAGATTTACTGTCGCACTCATCCACTACGCAAAATACCGAGATTACCCCCAACTAAATCACCCTATATACCCAAAATATCCCAACGACCGCTTCCATTATCACGCTAAGTCTCCCACTTCCACTCCTACGTGGCCTGATTTTATTGCAGCATTTACTATCAACCCACGCGCCTATTGCATTTTCCCATTCCACGCGTCTTTTCTAAACTCTATACTTTTAATTTTAAGAATACACAAATTAAATATCTATTTTAGTTTTTCTATTTTTAAAAACTAAATATTTATTTATTGATTCCATGTTTATTTTAGATTTTTTTTTATAAATTTTTTTATTAAGTATTGTAGTCCACGCGCTACGAGGAGGAGTGGGGAAAATAAAAAAAAATACAGTATTTCGCAACCACCTAGTCAGAACGACTAGAAAATTCGGCGTAGACTTCAGCTCCAAGATCCATACTTCAGTCAAGCCCGTCTCTCTCTGTCTCTCACACAGCCCGATCGCTTGCTTCCGCCATGGTTTTCCCATCTTTTTAGTGCAGAAGATCAAATTTTCCTCTGTAGAACAGAGACAGGGGATCGATCCCGACAGACACCGAGGTTAGTAATCCTTGTCTCAATCTTGCTGGGTTTTCATGGTTCGAGCAACATTTGCGAGCTTATAGCTGAGAATCTTTTGAAGAACGATCTGGGTTTTCATTTTTGTGCTTGATGAAGACTGGAATTAGTATTTAAAGCCATGAAAAATCTTGTGTCTCTGTTTTTCTTTGTTCTTGCGCTGCAACTGTTTGAAGAAATGCGCTTTTCGTTTGGTCAATCAGATGCCCTAGGATTTGCGGTTGTTGAATCTGAAACTAAAGATGAAATTCCTAATGAAACTTATAATTATGAAAGGCATGATGAGGTGGAGAAACAATGCAAATTTGTTCTGTCAGCTGCAGCTGAAATCAGCTCGGATACTACTAGGTTTACTAGAATGAAGGAACAGCTTCAGTTTATAAATGGAGATTGGTGGCAAGATGAGGGAAAGTATCCTATAATGCCTTATGAAAATCTAACTCTTTCAGAAATGAACTTTATAAATGTTGAGAGCCCTTTGAAATTGATATCCTTTTGGGTTACTGATATTGATCCTGCCCATCAAACTAAGAAGTCTGTTAGTGTTAGTGGGTTAGTGTCAATGGGCATAGCTTTGGATCGTGCTTTTGACCAAAGGTCATATGGACATCCTCATTTTCAGTTTTGGCCTGGCTATTCTGAGCTCACACTGCCTTTTCAAGGAATCTATACTGAATCCAAGAAGAATGGTGGGGAAAGAGTGCTGTGTTTGTTGGGTAGTGGGATGCTACCTTCTCGTGATCAAGAGTCCGATAATCCGTGGAGTTGGGTCAAGGATTCAAATGGGAATCCTCACCAGATGCCACTTCTTCAAGACGATCAAATTCTACTTGTTTTGCGATATCCGATGAGGTATACGTTGACAAGTAGAGTAATCCTAGGTGAAATGAGAAGTTTGAACCCCAAGTCGAACTCTAAGTACTTCGACGACGTTCACATTTTGTCTCAACTCGGTGATGTGAACTATGATTTCGCAGCTGAGAAAGTTGTCAAAAAAGCGTGTTCTCCGTACCCTTATAATGATGACTTTTTGAAGAAGAACATTAGTACGTATCGAGGTTCTTTTTGCAGGGTTTTGCAAGAAATGACAAGGGGTCAAGCTTTCACAATCCTCCCAAACTGGAGATGCAACTCTACAGATGAATTTTGTAGGAAACTTGGTCCGTTTCTATCAGATAAAGAGATCAATGGTACCGACGGAGGTTTCAAAGATGTGAGCCTTTATATGCAGGACGTGAAATGCAAGCTGTGGGGCTCTAGCCATAATGACATATCTGCTAGCGTTTCTGCTGTCTTTCGAGCTGTTTCGCCATCGGAGAATATCTACACTGCTTGGAGAAGAACTGCACTTAATAACATGACAATGGTGTCTGAGGGAATGTGGAAGTCTTCCAGTGGGCAGCTTTGCATGGTTGGTTGTGTTGGGCTTGTTAATATCGATAAGAGCTCCTGTGACTCTAGGATCTGCCTGTATCTTCCGACCTCGTTTACTTTAAAACAACGAAGCATTCTTGTCGGTTCAATTTCGAGCACGAATGATAACCCAACGTACTACCCTTTGTCATTTGAAAAGTTATTAAGGCCTACAGAGTTGTGGAGTTATTTTAGGGAGTCCCATCCATTTTACAGTTACACAAAGATTGCTTCAGCTGGTGTCGTGCTCGAGAAAAACGAGCCTTTCAGTTTTCGGGCTGTCGTAAAGAAGTCATTGCTGCATTATCCCAAACTGGAAGACACCGAAACGTTAGAACTCAGTGAGTCTCTTCTCTTAGAAGATCTCACCCTTCATGTCCTTGCAGTTCCCATTCCAGCTCTTGGTTCTCAAGCTTCGAAAACGGATGTTCAGATGGATATTATCTCTGTTGGTTCCTTTTTCGGACGGGATTGGTCGAGGTTAAATGGATCCATCTCGGACATGGAAACTCCTTATCATGTTAAGCCTGAATACACTGAAAAGCAGCTGCTTGTGAATGTATCTGCACTACTCTCACTCTCAGGACAGACATATAGCAACTTTTCTGAGCTTTTCGTGGAGGGTATTTACGATCCACATGTTGGACACATGTATCTAGTTGGTTGCAGAGACGTTCGTGCATCGTGGAACGTATTGCTCGAGAGCATGGATCTTGAAGATGGCTTGGATTGTCTAATTGAAGTAGTTGTGTCTTATCCTCCCACTACAGCTCAGTGGTTAATCAATCCAACTGCACAGGTCTCCATTTCCAGCCAACGGACAGAAGACGACCCTTTCTATTTCAGCTCAATAAAACTCGAGACAATGCCGATCATGTATAGAAGGCAACGACAAGATATCCTTTCTCGTAAGAGTGTCGAGGGTATACTCCGAATATTGACACTTTCACTAGCGATTGCTTGCATAACGAGTCAGATATTTTATATAAATCATAATCTCGAGTCTGTTCCATTCATATCTCTTGTTACACTGGGAGTTCAAGCCCTTGGTTATACTCTTCCACTGGTCACTGGTGCTGAAGCTCTCTTCAAACGACGCAGTTCCGAATCATATGAGGAGTCGTATAATCTCGAAAATAATCTTTGGTTTGTCGTGATGGATTACGTCGTCAAGCTTCAAGTTGTAGCCTCACTTCTATTGACGTTGAGACTTTGCCAGAAGGTTTGGAAATCTCGAATCAAGTTACTACGACAAGCTCCTCTCGAACCACACCGCGTCCCCAGTGATAAATGGGTGCTTATTACTACCTTTGTTATACATCTTGTCGGGTATGTAGCCGTTGTCGTGGTTCATGCTTCAAGGACAACAAAAACCCGGGTCGAGAGTTTCTTGATATCTAACAGAGCTTCAAGTTCCCACATGATGCAGGGATGGGAAAGGGACTTACAAGAGTATGTGGGTCTTGTTCAAGATTTTTGCTTACTCCCTCAAATCATTGGCAATTTCTTATGGCAAATTGATTGCAAACCTCTTAGGAAGTGTTATTTCATTGGAATCACTCTGGTTAGGCTTCTTCCACACATTTATGACTTAATTAGAGCTCCTTCTGTAAATCCTTACTTTGTTCAAGAGTATGAGTTTGTGAACCCAAGCATGGACTTCTACTCTAGATTTGGAGATGTTGCCATTCCTTTGATCGCATTGATCCTTGCGGTCCTCGTCTACGTTCAGCAACGATGGAGCTATGAGAAACTAAGCAACGGTCTCGTGGTCGGACGGATTAGGCTTCTTCCAAGCGCTTCTAGAATGTATCAGAGGTTGCCTTCCAAGTCATATGAAGCTGAGCTTGCTTCTGCTGAAAATGGTAACGCCGAACGGGAAGACGTAGAATGATACCGAACGATTTACAGAACATGGTGACATCGAGGTTGTTATAACAGGAAATGTTGGTTTTTTTTTTTCTTTTACATAGTAGGTGTTGTTTTACTACATGGTCTCTGCTTGGTTACTGTTTATGGATGTTTCTGCGTCAAATAGAATACTCAGAAGCCTCATTTGAGGATACCCTGAAATAAAGTTTTGAGAAGATCTTATGAGGATTAGTCTTTTGTTCTTCTAAGATTTTGTTAGTTTTGTGGTTGATTAGTGAATTTCATGAGAATATTGGTTTGAATTGTAGATTCTGAACAAATGGATTAGATTCTCGACATTGCCAGTCCCGAACGTTGTCCTTAGCGTCTCGACATTGCCCTGCAACCAAGCCTGGAGTCCCACATGATCAGCGTCTCGATGTTATGACTTGGGTGAAGCAATGTGATACAATGCCACTATAAGTATACACACGTTACACTCATGGCAAAAAGAAGCAGTCACATATGAAACCCATTAGTTTGAATTTTTCTTTTTAAGTTTCGGTATGGTAAGGAGTCCTCCACTTTCATTTCTATTTTTAGTTACTTCCTTTCCTTTGTCGGATGATTACCCGTGCAATGATGGTTCCATTAATAGAGCTATTATACAACTTGTATAAATAGTCATAGAGATAGTACCTATAAATAGGTCTAAAGAAGAATTCTACTCCTTCCCCGACACAAACACTATCTACCTCCACTCATGAGAGACTCGTACCCCAGTTGTAGACTTGGGCCTGTAATACAATGCCTCACTCAACGCCATGATCACCCCTCAACTCTACTCAATGCTAAAAATATATGTCATCGAGATGTTATAACCTAGCTACGTGGTTAATGACTTTATTCTCTCAAGACGTATGTGATACCTGAAAGCGATGTGTTTCCTTTTCACTGACATGACATTGTTTGTTTGAATCTTGAAGGTTCATGGCTTGAAGTCAAAAACAGTTTACAATCATTAGCAACCATACTTGCATCATCTTATGGTTCATGATTTAGAAGAAACAAGGAACAAATCTTCTAATGATATCCCTTCTCAAACCAGACACTCCCAGCCTTTGGCTTGTCGAAGCAACACTTGTCGTATTGGCATAATCCATCATACATTACGACCAACTTTTTGTTCACTTGCGGGGCATCGTTGATACTCACAAAAATGTTTTGGAATTGTGAGATCCCACATCGATTGGAGAGAGGAACAAAATATTTCTTATAAGGGTGTAGAAACTTCTCCCTAGTAGACACGTTTTAGAACTGTGAGACTGACGGTGATACACAACGAGCTAAACCGGACAATATTTGTCAGCGGTGAGATTGAGCTATTGCAAATGGTATCAGAGCCAGACACCGGACCTTTAGGGGATGGATTATGAGATCCCACATCGGTTGGAGAGGGGGAACAAAACATTCCTTATAAAGGTGTGGAAACCTCTCTCCAATAGACGCGTTTTAAAACCGTGAGTCTGACGACGATACGTAACGAGTCAAAACGGACAATATTTACTAGCAATGAGATTGAGCTGTTATAGGAACCTTGCTCCAAGAGGTAACTTACAAAATTTTGGAACGTTGTTAATTTCGAGTATCTAACCTCTTGGTCGATGGTACATACCTGAAGCAATTGAATAATGTTTGAGATGACATATAAGAAATGTCTTTCTCGATCCAAAGATCAAAAGTTTGAATATCTAACTTCTACACATTGATGAACTCAAAACAAAGATAAATCCAAAAACCAATTCTACCCGATTAATAAAAACTTGAAAGTGATTATTGATTGCTCGATTTGAGCCATCAACGCTCAACATAATTTCGGTAGAACTTTAAGACAAAATAATCCTTGATAAACAATAATACCTAAATCTCCATGGGTGAACCAATACTAACAAGATTTGGTAGTTAAATGAGTACAAATTGGTAATTTTATATATAAATAATGAAAAGATCTGATCTTTTGGTTTGGTGGCTTGTCACCCTCGTATTAGATATCAAGAATGTCTATATTCATAGCTAAGCTAGAAAGCTTAGAGTAATACTTTTTTAATTTCAAACCCTAATTTTGGTTCGATGTTAATCATACTCTTTGAGTCAATTCAAGCACAGCTCGAGATGTACATGAGTCGAGTTGGAAAAATCTTCTGAACCAACCCAAAATTTTAGATTAGTTGGGTCAGTAACGTACTCAACCTGAACAGGGTTTACAATTTAACCCAACCCAACCCTCCGTTTTCGAGATGAATTTTTTTTAATTATTTAAAAAATTCATAATTATTAATATCACAAAAAATTAACTGATTTTATTTTTATTTTCAATTATGTTATTTAATTACGTCTTATACTTGCTCATGATTTTCTTTTTTTTTTCTATTTATTTATTTTTAATTCGAGGACCACTTTGAAAGTCAATAATTTTAGAAAATATTTATTAATTTATTAATTAATATTCTTTTCTTTTCATAATTGACTTGGTTATAATAATTCCCTCTTGAAACATGTCTTGATTTTCTTTATTTTTTTCCCTTTTAATATTAATATTAATATAAATATGATAATCGATCAGTTTTATAATATGGGAAATCATGCTTATTTGATAATTTTTATTAAATGAAAATTGAAATAATATATGGGAAATTCGTGGTCCACTTATAACATTAAAAAAAATGAATAATTATAATTTTTTAAGAATAAAATAAACAATATTTATATGATAAATTACAATATAGTTTTTGAAATAATAAATCGTGGTCCTAATTTAGAGGACCACTAAATTGAATTAATGTAATATTATGCATTTGTCAGCTTACATTCAAGACATATTAGCTTTTATATTATAGTTTTGTCAAATAAAAAATATATTTATTGACCATAGGTTAGGTTGGCCATTTAATTATTTAAACATTTGAATAAAGATTTTTTTTAAAATTAATGAAAAATGTTGGTTTATTAAACAATTAGTTTCTCATTTTCAAACATTAGTAGTTAAATATCAATTATTTTTAGAAAATTACACGTCAATAACTTAATACAATATATATATATATATTAAAAATTATTTATTTTGTCTTGTGTCACCTAATATTCATTTATCCCATGCTCGTGATTTAGTGTATATTTAATATATTTATAACAAAAATTGCGTTACAATTTGTTAAAGAGAAATAAAAGTAAAAATTAAAAATGTTTATTTTTCTATAATTCAAAATCTAAAAGTAAATATTTTAAAGGTTTAAGACGAAAATAAAATTTGAACTTTAAAATAAATTCAAACATTTTAAATTTCAAACCTAAAATACAAAATTAATTTATAATTTAGTCCATTTTTAATATTGGGTATATTTAAGCTTTATTTTTTTAATTTTTTTAAAATAAAATTTAAGTTAAGTTAATTTAAAAAAACTTTATTTTGTTTACTGTGTTTTTATCTCTCTTTAAAAAAAATATATATATATACACATACACATACATATATATATATATATATATTTATATACATACATATACATATATATATACACATATATATACACATACATACATATATATGTTTTTGAGTTTTTTTGGTCCTAATTTTTGTACTAATATTTTCTCATTTATTAGAAAAAAAAAACATTTGAATTTCTAATAATCTTTGAAAAAAAAATTAAATCTTTATCCAAGCTACTAGATAACAAAACATAGAATTGCAAACTAATAATTTATAAAGCTTAAATTTAAAAAATAAATAATAAAAAACCAAATAATCTACCTAAATAAAGAGAATTAGGAAAGAATATATGAACCAACCATCTAATTTAACTTTTAAAAAACAACAAGAAATCGAATCATTCAACTCCTCACGAGCTCACGATCCAAGCTAATGGGTTCAGAAACGGGTCCAAGGATGGATGCGGGGCTGCCGGTGATAAACTTCAGCGGCGACGATGTGAAGGCGGAGGGCGGCGAGGGGTGGAGGAGGAGGAGCGGAGAAGTCCGAGAAGCCCTGGAAGAGTATGGGTGTTTTATCGCAGAGTACGAGGGGATTAGCCCTGAGCTACGCGTCGAGGTTTTCAAGGCCGTGGAAGCACTTTTTGAGCTTCCAATTGAGACGAAGAAGAAGAACAGATACGAAAAGCCCTTTAATGGGTATGTCGGGGAGCTTCGTACCCTCCCTCTGCATGAAAGCTTGGGCATTGACGACGCCACAAACATCGATGGTGTTCAGGCCTTCACTCACCTCATGTGGCCCAATGGAAACCACCATTTTAGGTGATTTTGAATGCTTTTCTTAAGTTTATACCATAATTTTGAATTCATTTTGTAACCGCCCCAACACGCCCACCACTATCTCGGTCTTCTTTTGAGTTTTCACTCTCGAGCTTTCTCTCACGGTTTTTAAAATGTGTCTGCTAGGTAGAGATTTACCTACCCTTTTAAAGAATATTTCGTTCGTCTGATGTGATATCTCACAAACCACCCTCTTTGTAACTGAGTGTCCTGTCACTAGTTTCTTCCTCCAATTAACGTGGGACCCCCAATATACTCTTTGTGGGCGCAGAGTCTTTGCTGACATATTGTCTCGTGTCCACCCTCTTCAGGGCTTAGTTTCCTCACTAGCACATCGTCTGATTTCCGACTCTAATACCACATCAGTTGTTGAGGAGAACTAAACATTCTGGCTCTAATACCATATTAGTTGTTGAGGAGAATTAAACATTCTTTAAAAGGGTGTGAAAACGTCTCCGCAGCAGAAGCTTTTTAAAAACCTTGAGGAGAAGCTCGAAAGGAGAAATATAAAATAACAATATCTGCTAATGTTTTTATTTGGTTCGTTCAGCTCGAATTTGCATTCGTTTGCGAAGAAAGCAGAAGAATTGGATCAAATGGTGACGAAAATGATATTTGAAAGCTATGGAGTTGAGAAGTATCATGAGACTCATGCTGCTTCCATTACTTATCTTCTTAGAGCTTTGAAGAACAAAGCTCCTCATTCTCAAAACCCTACTTTGTGCCTTGTGGATCACACTGATAAGAGCTTCACCACCATGGTCTATCAAGATCATACCAATGGCTTGGAGGTCCAAACTAAAGATGGCCGGTGGATTCAGGTCGATAACTCCTCACCCTCGACCTTCGTCGTCATTGCCGGGGATGCATTCAAGGTCGAGTATACATATATATCTATACACTCTTACTATTTTCATCAACTAGGATGTTCGTGGGTTGCATTGGGTCGAGATTTTTTTTAACCCAACTCAATTTTTCGAGTTATAAATCTTTCGACCTAAATAATCTTCACTAAAAAATGAACATAACCCAACCCGAACCAATCCAATCATAAATTTTTTGGATTGAGTTGGTTAAAGTTGTTCAGCGTCTGTTTATTTATTTTCAAACATTAAATTAAAATTTTCAACTCAATTTTATTTTATATTTTGAAAATTTAATTTCGTTAAATTATTTTTAAGGGTCGCTAGAGAATAAATAATCATGAAACTAAATAAAAATAAAATAACCAGTAATAAATTCAGGTTGGTTCGGTTCAACCTAATATAGTTTTATAAGAACCCATGAACTAACTCAATGCATGGTGTTTTTGTTTTTTGAACCCAGCCTATGGGTTAGGTTGATCGAGTTTTTCGAGTCATCGAATTTTTTAAACATAAAATATTTGGACGAAAACGAAAGGGTATCTAAGTTACAGAGACCAAAATGATATTTTAACATAAAGTATACTATTTGAAGATCACTTACCTCTCAAAACTATCACATTTATTTTTAATATACACGTTCTTCAAGGATTAAACGTTCGAGAATAAACCCTAATTACGGTGTTCGATTTTGGTAGAGAAGGCTTGGAGCAATGACAGGATAGAGTCACCAACTCACAAAGTGACAATAAGAGGGAACGAAGATAGGTACTCTCTTGCAATGTTTGGATTCAGCAATGGAATTGTGGAAGTGCCCAAAGAGCTCATAGACCAAACCCATCCTTTGAGATATAAACCCTTTGATCATATTGGATTGCTTCATTTCTTCCGCTCAAAAGAGGGTTTCAAATCCAAATCTCCACTCCAAGACTACTGCGCTCTCTAAAATCAACAACACCTATCATGTTTGTGTATGATTATAGTTCTAAGCTTCAATGTGTTCATGAGCTTTTGCTTTGTTTGTGTGGTTTTAGGTTAAGAAAGAATGTATGAACTCTAATAAACTTGGTGTGTTTGCTCTTCTTAATAATATAAACATAGTTTCCCATTCGTAGTTTCAAATTCAAATAATCGTCCCGATTGATACCAGTTATGTTTGTTTTCTCATGACCTTTTTATCATTTTTAATCAAACATTCGAATTTCTAAGATATATTCAAAAAAGCTAAAAAAATCTATCAGTCAAAATAGTGTTTATAAGCTTACTTTTTAACACGGGTGTTAAAAAAAACCTGATGCAACTTCATCATATAGTCTTGGTTGGGTTGGGTTCATATAAATAAACATTTTATGCATTGGATCGAATTAATTCTAATTTATGGTTAATTTTAAAATATATATTTTTGCATACAATTCAAATTCATCTAACATTAAACAATACTAATACAACATTCAAACAAAAGTATAATAAAGTATTGTTTAGTTGAAATGTATGAATCAAATATTAATCTTACAATAATATACGTCCTTAACAAATACGACTAAATTTCCATCTCTATTTCGTATTCTTTTAATTCAATCATTTAGAGAGAAATGATTTAATTAAACCAATTATGATGACTTAAAATATATATGAAATAACCCCACAAATTAAATTTAATCTCAAGTCCACATCGGTGACCACAAACAATAGATTATACAAACACATGAATCATCCAAAAAAAAAAAAAAAGAGGCCCAACCTTTTGTTTCTCTTACATAAGCTATCAAACCAAGGAAGAACAGGTAGCAGTGAGTTAGGCATTGGTGAGAATGGGGTCCGAAACACAAGCCGGAGTGCCCGTAATAGACTTGTCCAAATTAGAGAAGTTGGAGGCTGGCACTGACGCATGGGGCTCAACATGCAAGGCGATGAGGGTTGGTTTGGAGGAATTTGGGTGCTTTTGTGTGGTGTTTGAGGAGGTTTCTTTGGAGCTTCATAACTCCTTCTTTGGAGCTGTTGATGAGCTGTTTCAGCTTCCAATTGAAACTCGAATCAAGAACACAAGTGAAAAGGCTTACCATGGCTACTTTGGCCGCTACTCCTTTCTTCCTCTCTATGAATCCATGGCTATTGATAACCCAACTCAGCTAGACGCTGCTCAAAGCTTTGCCAATCTCATGTGGCCGGATCAAGGAAACAATCGCTTCAGGTAACTTCTGAACTCGAATTCAACGTCTTAACAACTATGTAACTACGTTCATGTTTGCGAAAGTTATTTAAGAAAATTGACTCGTAAAAAAAAGTTGAGTTATATGTTTAGTTTACTCTGTGTTTATAAACTTTAAAAATGTTTTGATTGGTCGTAAACTTTTAATTTTATGTTTAATAGGTTTGTAAATTTTTAGAAATTTTGATTAGGTGAAACATGGTGTCAACTCTTTACCACTTTGTGGGTTGAGGGAGCTATCTTATGTGACGTGAGTGTAATGGTTGGACGAGCGTTGTAAGATGAATGTCTTGGGCGTCTTTGTTTACAAATGGGTTTTTGAAAATAATGTCAGGCACGGGTGTGTTGATATTGTGCCATGTAAACATTTAAACTGTAGGATCAAATCGACACAAACTTGAAAGTTCATAAATTGTGAGATCCCACATCAATTGAGGAGGAAAATGAAGTATTCCTTATAAGGGTGTGGAAACCTTTCCCTAGAAGACACGTTTTAAAACCGTGAGGCTGATGACGATATGTAACGGGCCAAAGTGGACAATATCTGCTAGCGATGGGCTTGAGCTGTTACAATTGGTATCAGAACCAGACACGAGACGGTGTGCCAGCGAAGATCCAGGTCTCCAAAGGGGGGTGGATTGTGAGATCCCACATCGGTTGGAGAAGTGTGGAAACCTCTCCCTAGTAGACAAGTTTTAAAACCGTGAGGTTGACGGCGATACATAATAAGTCAAAGTGGACAATATCGGCTAACAATGGACTTGGTGACTTAAACTGTTACATAAATTGAACCTAACTTAGTCGGAACGTTGCTTGCCATTCAAATAATCGAACGCTTAGATGGTCGAGTAGTCTTTCAAAAAAAGGGAGTTTTTATATTTTATTATCTTCCATTAACGAAATCACAGCGAAACTATTCAACGTTTCTCAACCTTGGTGGCGAAACTGGACAAGATAGTAACAAGAATGGTGCTGGAAAGCTACGGAGTATCAAAGCAGCTGATCGACACAAACATAGATTCAACAGCCAACCTTCTCCGCTTCTTCAAATACAGAGTTCCTGAGCAACACGAAACCGATGTGGGATTGCACGCCCATACAGATCTCACATTTTTCTCCATAATTCATCAACATCTCATCGGTGGTCTCCAAATTCAATCGCTCGACGATCAATGGATCGACCTCGAGCCCTCCAGCCACTGCTCCTTCATCGTCATGGCGGGTGACGCGCTCATGGTAACCACACTCCTTCATTCTGATTCATATCAATTATCGTTGAACTATACTCACTTTGTCTAAATGAACGTAGGCGTGGAGTAACGATAGAATAAGGAGTTGTAGGCATCGAGTGACGATGAAAGCGGAGGAAACGAGATACTCAGCGGGGATGTTTTCGTTCAAGAATGGGACGATTAGTGTGCCTGAAGAGCTTGTGGATGATGCCAACCCATTGCGATACAAGCCCTTTAATCACTATGACTTCCTTACTCATGACAAAGCAAAGGGTTCTAAAAAATTTCTCTATCGAATTAGAGATTATTGCAGCATTTGAATCAACAAAACTTCAAACTCTGTCCAATATATATGAATTATTGTTCATCAATAAGTTTGCTTGTAAAATATTTCCCTTTCTTTCTTCCATAATTCCGAACCTTTGTACCGATTAATGTTATCGTGCTTGTTTTCTCACCGTTTATTTACCAAAGTTCTAGTTTTTGAAAAAAAAAGTTTGAATATTATGTTATCCAGATGATGGATTTGTCGGCTAATATTTAGTAGAATAAGTTACTAACTTATAGAGTAAGTTTAGTAGAAATGTTGTCGACTTATTTATGAGCATGAGAACTTCAGTAGAATTGACAAATTGTGAATCAAGTTTCGTGCTTGTGAGCTGGTTTTATGCAAGATTGTCGGTGGTTTTTAAAGTGTAGGAAGGTAGTTAGTGATTTCTCCATTGTAAATACTCGTGCTCGAGAATTGACAATAATTGCTAAATTGTTTTATGGTTTAATTAAGTTTTCAGTAGTTCTTAACTTAACTTGAATAAAAAGTTGAGGACGTTAGTTAGTGTTGCTTTGTGCTTTAATTAAATCTAATAAGATTTAATAAGATTGTCTGTTCTTAATTTGAGTAAAATGTTTAAGAAGCTCTGTTTTGTGTTTTAATAGGTAAGATTTGTTAAAATAAAATCCACTGATTTGTGAAATAACTCTCTCACACACTAACAATTGACTGCTCGTATACTTGTGAGGGAGATGTCAAGAAGGGAGAGACAAGAAGAACAAGAATATAAGAAACAGTTTTTCTATTGCTCTGTACTTTTTTTTTTGCTCTATACCTTTCTTTTTTTGCTCTGTACTCTTCTTCCTCCGACTTTACTATATTAGGTATTTATACATTCTCTATTTCTAATAATAGGGTCAGACAAACTCTCATAAACTCTTATCATCGCTCTCTAAAACAACTCTGGGCCTTTTTCTTTCTAACAGTTTCTTTTCAAATTTTTCATTCTTAACGAAACTAATCTTCACCATTCAAGTTTATTCCAACAAGATTGTCGGAGGAAAGTTTAGGAAGCTAGTTAGTGTTATTTTATGCTTTAATCAATAAGATGATGTGAGTAGAAAGTTTAGGGAGCTAATCATGTTTTTTTCACGATTACTGCAACAAATAGAATTGAAAGACATGATTAAAAGATCTTTCTCCTCAAATTTTTACTTTGTTGTGTTTGGACATATTTTGATCGTGGTCAGATCCAAAAAGATCGAATCATTCATTGACGAACACTTTGTTAAAGAACTGTGTTTTATTTATGTAGTACACGAACAGTTTGTTAAAGAACTGTGGGAAGGAGATTACCCTACTTTGACCTGGCTCTCATCCTTCACGTCTACACGGATACAAGAGAGTCCGTCAAAATGATCGGATTTTATACGGATAAAGTCAGTCCAAGATATGGGGCGGTAAAGCGGTGGCTGAGTTGGGCTCAGAAGCTTCTTATGCGGTGACATTTCGACGTTTTCCGGCGGCACAAAAAGATAGGCCACCGAGAGCCGCTTTTTAGTCCGGTTCACAACGGCCTGATGGAACGGACTTTTGTACAACCCATTTGACACAATTTGGAGCATGTCTCCGACTTGAACCACTAGTGCACCGGCCACCGGCTCCACCGTCACCCACTCCTTCCCTTCCCGCAAAATTTGTAACCCTCTCGTGTTGTTTTGGTGCAGGACGGTTAAGAGGCTGGTGTCTGTGTGGGCGCCGAGCCCCATGGCTCGATCAGGGTCAGGGCAAGCTGGGTAGAAGTTCAGCTGGGTGGCTGCATTACATGTCTTGAAATCCTCATTCGGGCCGGCCCAGTTGATGTCCTCTCGGGTTATGCCCAATTCGCTCAACGCTATCCACATCAGCCTTCCACATAGACTCTTCAACTCTCGGTCGTATTCCGCCATTATATCACTACAAGAAATAATAAAGACGGTTACGACTCCCTATAATTATATGATTTGTGGTATGATATTGTACATTTTGAGCATAAACTCTCGTGGGTTTATTTTGCGCTTCGTCAACAGGCCTCATTTGAGAATTCTAGATACTATGTTAGGAATCACGATCCCTCACAATAGTATGATATTGTTCATTTTGAGCATAAACTCTCGTGGCTTTGCATACCATGTTAGGAATCACGACCCGCTACACTTGTATGATATTGTCCACTTTGAGCATAAGCTCTCGTGACTTTGCGTACCATATTAGAAATCACGACCCTCCACAATGGTATGATATTGTCCACTTTGAGCATAAGCTCTCGTGACTTTGCGTACCATATTAGGAATCACGACCCTCCACAATGGTATGATATTCTCCACTTTGAGCATAAGCTCTCGTGGATTTGCATACCATGTTTAGAATCACGATCTTTCACAATGGTATAATATTGTCCACTTTGAGCATAAGCTCTCATAGCTTTGCATACCATGTTAGGAATCCCGACCCTCCACAATGGTACGATATTGTCCACTTTGAGCATAAGCTCTCTCGTGGATTTGCTTTGGATTTCCTCGAAAGGCCTCCTTTGAGGATTCTATTGACATGACTAATAGGAATCACGACCCTCTAACAATGGTATGATATTGTTCACTTTAAGCATAAGTTCTAATGACTTTGGTTTGGGCATCCCCGCAAAGTCTCATGCCAATAGAGATGTATTCCAACCCATGATCATTCCCTAAATTAGCGAACGTGGGACATACTGCCAATGATCCTCAACAAAAAGTAATTATTTAGTGAATGATTGAATATGGGTTTGATAGGAGTAGTACCAGCGTTTGGAGTAGTCATGAGGCCAGAGGTGGCGGAAGTGTTCGAGAGGAGAGCCCATGATGGTGAAGCTTTCAGACCACATACGCTTAGGGAAGAAGGAGTTGATGCGGGCGATGCCATAGCCAGGGAAGGTGCCAGGGGTGCGAGCAGCCTTGAGCTTATGGGGAGGGGGGAGGGCAAAGAGGTCAATGGCGGAGGATTGAGCGGCATGGATGAGGGAAAGGGGGACGCCGTGGTTAATGATTTGGAAGGAGCCCCATGTGGTTAAGGCCTTGCCGATGAGGTCGGGGGCGTCGGGGAGGGAAAGGTCGATGAGGGGGAGGGTGTCGGAGAGGGGCGTGGAGTGTTGTTGGAGGGAAGGGAAAAGGTCGGGCTGAACCCACTGGTAGGCGTCGGGGAGTACTTGGAGAGAGTCCAAGTCGTGATCTTTGTGAGTGATGTAGACACTGTGGTGGGTTTGGGTGGTGGCCATCTTTGTTTTCTTTTAGATTTTGGGGATTTCAAAGGAAGAGATGTTGTTGAGTGAAACATAGGCTATTGCTATTTATAGACATCATCGTCCTCACAAATTTCCATAATGGTTCGATATGATCCACTTTGAGTATAAAAGACTTCGTACCAATGAAGAAGGTACTCTCCACATGTGACACTCCAACACTCTCGAACACATACACGCCCAAATGAGAGAGCTTAAAAGAGAGAAATAAACAGAGAGAATAGTGAGAGTAGTAATACATGTACATGTTTTTCTGATAACTATTAAGTGAGTGATTTAATTATTCGTTATAAATGTTCTTTCTTTTTGTTAAACTATTTTTAATTTTAATTTTTTTTTTACTATTCAATTGAACTAATGGTAAAAAAAATGTGAAAGGACCATTTTGTCCTCTCCATCAAAACTATCCTATTATTATTTTTGAAAATTAAAAATAAATAAAGTAAATGGCATGCATCTCCTCCCTATAATCTATGGATGCCTAAATCACATCCATAATTAAATTAATATTATAACGCCCAAAAAAACGTTAGGGAATAAAAAGAGTAAAAAAAATTTACTTTATTTTAGTATTTTACTCGCTCTCATTTTTTACTTGAGGTAATGACTAAATTCTAGTCGAGAACGGGAGTAGTTTGGCCATAGAGACCGATCTAAGTCTCTTCCGAGCTAAAAATTTGAATCAAAACTAATCTCCGTCCCTCCTAAAATATACTCTAAACTACATGACAATGCTCCTCTTTTTTATTTTGACCATACTACCCTTCCTCTTTTGATATGTCTATTTCAATATGGGCTCCACTCACTATAGAAGAAACAAGTTCAAGTCTTACATGCATGTCTTTCAATATATATTTACTCTTAGGACACATCTTCAAGGGCAATCTTGTCTCTTCACCCACACAAAAGTAACAAAAAAAAATTGGTGTGTTTATGCATGTTCGAGATCGTGGCTACGACAACTCTGTATCCTCTCTCCTCTCTAATAACTCCTATCTCGCTTTTTTTTTTTAAAAAAATACTTTATTGAAGAAAAAAAACTTACATGTAACCTAACAGAAAGGAAAGCTACAAAAAAGACTCGCCATTCGAGTAAATACTCACAACTTCTTAATTTTTGAAGAGACGTTAACCATAAAATAGTTAAAATAATGGCATCTTCCTAGATGTGCGGGGAGGAGTTATTATGATCGGTAAAAAAAAGGAACCCTAAAACGATTTTATTTGTTTAAGAACGAACGAAAATGAATCTTCATCGATCATAACCACCCAAAACCCTTGTCTCTTGCATGTTTAGTGCTTAGGGCTAATGATTTTGGTTAAGAATATTGCATGATATAAAGTTGACATTCTTTGAATTTAAAAATAACTCAAGAAATTGTTAAAACTCTATTCACCGAAGGTTGGAAATAACGATTTCAACGCCTTTTTTTATTCACTCAAATCAGAGCTAAAACGAAGAAGTTTTAGTCGAAACAAGATACTAGATATGATGACGTAACGACGAAATTGACATCAAAAATTAAAGTTTTTAACCGTGGAAATAATATATATGACAAAAATGGCTTTTGAGAAACAATTCAACACTTGGGGCTTGACTTCCGACAAGACAGCTTATAGAAGAAAAACAACAAAAAAAAGACCTTAAAAAAAACATATGTGACACTTGACCATGCGTAGAAATAGTGGAATGGTAGCAATCTAAGACATGCAAAACCTAGCTAGCAAGGTTCGTATCTTGTCAACTTTAGTGAAGAAGACAAAGTGAGCTAGAGTAACACTTGTCGTGATCGTGTTGGACCGTCCTAGGTTTCTCTAGTTTGATATGTTAAGGTAAAATCAAATCATAAAACATTGGTCTTAATGTCTTTTTTAATGTCTGATCAAACATAGACCACAAATGTTTACTTGCTCTTTGTTTCCTTATTTAGAATTCATTCTTGTCGAAGTTGGTTTTGGTAGTGGCCACTCCCAAGTCCATACATGAAAGAAAATGACTTAATATCTCAACAAGATCTGATTTGATTACAATGTTTTTGTTTTGGTATTATTATAGGAAAGTTTGCAATGGGTAGCTCTTTAATGGACCGAGACCACATTTGAACGAAAATGACTTGAGAATAGGATGACTAAGTCACTGTTTATATCAACAACATGCACCTTTCTTTTTTATATCTCAATCATAATAACTTTGAAATTAAGCGTGTGTATCCTCTGTTGGATGACCTCTTAGAAAGCATGTGAGGGTGATCTCTTGCAAATTTTCTAGGAAGTGTGTGAGTGAGGATCTCACGGTTAAAAACGAGAAGTAATTAACATGTCGTGGGGAATGTACGAGAATGTTGGTATCATTACGTGACGAATTCTGTAATAGTCCAAGTCCACCGCTAGAAGATATTATTTTCTTTAGACTTTCCCAATCGGGTTTCCTCTCAAGATTTTTAAAACACGTCTGTTAAGGAGAGAATTTCACGTCCTTATAAAAAATGTTTTGTTCCCCTCTCCAATCGATGTGGGATCTCACAATTCATCCCTCCCCCCTCCCCCTTTTGAAGCCCAGTATCCTCGCGGGCACTCATTCTCCTCTCCAATCGATGTGGGATCTCACAATCCACCCCCCTTTCGGAGCCCAGTGTCCTCGCGGGCACTCATTCCCCTCTCCAATCGATGTGGGATCTCACAATCCACCCCCTCCCCCCTTTCGGAACTCAGTGTCCTCGCGGGCACTCATTCACCTCTCCAATCGACGTGGGATCTCACAATCCACCTCCCTTCAAGGCCCAATGTCCTCGATAGCACTTGTTCCCCTCACCAACCGATGAGAGATCTCACAAATTCAAATTCCAAATTTTGATCCAGCGAAAATGTAAGAAATTTTAAATCCTGATCTAAATTCCAAGTACTAAAACGCTAACAATATCTACGACAGAAGGACAGAAATGAAAAGAAGAGGACAAACAGAAAAAGCATGGCTTTGAAGGCAAATCTGTGTCCTTACAATAATATTTTAATATTAACCATCTCTATCTCCATATTCAATTCACTAAGCTTCTTGTTACATCATCTTCTTCGCTTCCACGAGTGTCTTGGCTTTAAACTAATTTATATTTATATATTGTTTATCAAAGAAGTAATAAAAATAAAATGATAATAATAATAACAACTGGGGAGGTGGCAGCAAAGAATGTGACACTAGGGTTAAATTATTAATTTATTATATATAGTATTGGCTTTTGGCAACTATATAATATAAATGCATGCATGGGTATATTGAAGGGGCAAAATCATAGATGCTGCCAACAAAGTATATTATAAATAAGTTAGGACATACTCCAATTTAATGTGTTGTTTTAATTTCCAGCTCCCAATCTTAAAAACCAGACATATATATTTTTATGTTTTGAGAGACCAAACCCACCTAGATTTTCTCGAGTCAGAGGATTGATAAGAGTGTGTCTTTTTTATGTTCATTCAATGAACGTAGAGGGTGTCCTCTTAATCATGCATCTCTGCCCTTCTTCATAGTCTATATATTGGAACAATACCTGATTTTGTTTGGAGTCCCAAACATTAGGTGAAGGGACAACATACATAAACCATAATTCATTATTCACTTAATAAATATGGGGTCTCGAGCGAAAACCCTAAGAATTGGGTATTGATTGAGATCGATGTGTTGTGCTCGAGGAGATATTTATTGAACTCTCTATTAGGAATCACGACTCTCTACCATGGTATGATATTGTCCACTTTGAGCATAAGCTCTTATGGTTTTGTTTTGGGCTTCCCAAAAGGCCTCACACCAATGGAGATAGTATTCCTCACTTATAAACCCATGATCTTCCACTAAATTAACCAATGTGGGACTCACTCTCAATAATCCTCAACACTCTCGTGACGTTTCCTGTCTTAGGCGACATGAGAATCAATCGTTCGAATGGTACATAAATGAACTACAACTATATTTGAATGAAAGTTGTTAGGAGGATTCTATGACTAAGAAAGAATTAAAATAATCCGTGCACCTTTTTTTGGTGATCTCTTAAGAATTTTCGAGTGATGGTAAAGCATGTTGAAAGGATTCGTGTTGGTTTATGAGGAATAGTTTTTGCTCTTAAAAGAGAGGAGTTTATAACGTGACTGTGTTGTAAGGGATGCATGAAAATGTCGGAATTATTAGATACAGAATCTATATTTTAAATCCAGATCTGAATTCCATGGAGATACCATGAGATTTAGAAGTGTAAACGTGTACGGATTTAGTCATATATGTGGAAGGAAGTTGACAAAGCAAAAAACAAAGAGAAATTAGAGGAAAAAGATAATGTGGTTTGACATCTGTCCTGTCCTTTTACAAGATAAAGCAAACTTTATTTTTATTAATTTTTTATTGGGGTTTTTTTTTTTTTTTTATACTTTTTTTCTTCTCAAAAATATTTTTAAACCCTTAAAAATTCATTTCAAATTAATTCTAATTTGTTCAAATAAATCAATGAAAACATGAAATTTTGAGAATTTTTTTTTTTAAATTAAAGTATATAAAAAATGTAAAAAGAAAAAAAAAATAAAATTGATGAATACCGAAATTATTAATTATGATATGGAATCAAGTTGAGTGAAAGGTACCTCGAGATGAGCAACAAAATGAGTTCAAAACTTCAGAAATAAATTTTTATGTTTTCAAGAATAAACAACCACTCTTCAAAAAATAATTAAAATAATAAAAATAAAAAAACTAAGCAACCGTTACAATAATTCTTAATTTTTTTAAAAATCTTCTCACCACTCTCCATTTTTCCACCATGCAGACCGTCTCCATTAAATAAATGGATTTTTTTTTTTTTTTTAACAAGTGTTATGAACAAGAAATAAGAGCTACATGCAAAAAGAAAGTGACAGCATTATGAACACAGAATATTAAAACGTCCAACGAACCGAAAGTGTTGAAGTTGATGAAGAACACGACGACCTCACTCTAAAACTCAACGTTAAAAGAGTTTAATTTGTTAGTAGAGATATCTATTTACTTTACGAGCATTACAAAATTTCAAATGATATCTATTTATTAAGCTCCTTTGTGGGATACATTATTATTAGTAGAAATGTCCATTTACCCACGGAGTCGAAGCCTCGTAGGGACCCATCGAAAGACATGAATTATATTCTCCAGCCCCATTTTCCTCCATCTCTTTATACAAATTGTTAAATGGTATGTTATAATAAATTTGAGTGACTATTACATTTTATTTTATAAAATATCATAATTACTTTTCTAATAAAAATTATATTTAAAAATGAAAAATTATCCATTAAAAAGTTATTTGAACCGAATGTTAATAGAAAAATATATTTTTTTGGGGGGGGAAATATATAAAAAAGATTTAAAAAAATTAAAAAAAATTAAAATTAAAATTAAAATTAAAATTAAAATAGGAGGTAGAAACTTTATATTGTATAGAATAAAAGTGAATGAAAGATATAATAGATCCAAAGCCTTTTATGTGTCCTCGAGAAAAGCAAAATGAGAGAGCTTAGTTTACTATTTTCAAATTTATTTCCACCTTGAAAACATCCACTTGTTCTGATTATTCCTGCGGAGGAGTGTCCATTTCTAAGCTTGTGCTTAACAAGTGTAATCAACAATGGGTGAGAGTTTCATGCAACATAAAAAAAAGACAACTTTTGACAGGTCTCCTCTCAGACGCCAAGTACAGAGAATGAACAAACAACCAGCCTAACCAAAAACCCCATTTCAAATTTCAAACAAAAAACTTCTCTTCTTTAGAAGACAATCATATATATAAACCTCAAAGAAATTGAAATAACTGTTCTTGCTTGTGAATTTGTGCACGTGTTAACTCGAGTTTGGTTGGCAGATCTATTCGAAGGCAAGAATAAGTGTTGCACAATTATGTTGCTAGTCTCGATAGTGTGTGCAATTGTGAGATTAGAGATAGCAGATGCACATGCAATGATGAAGGCACTGGAACTAAAACCGAGTTGGTAAAGAGATTTGTAGGAAACCCATGAATGAATGAGCCAGTACAAAAAACAAGCAAAAGAGTTTTGTGTTTTGTTTTGGATTTTAGGTTTGGGTTTGGGGTATGGTTTTATTATTGGAGCTTTTTTTTGGTTTTTTAGAGGCAAGTTCCAACCTTTTTCTAGGGTTCAATGAATGAGTCAATCCATGAATGATACAAGCAGATAACCATTGGCCCAATTCCAAGACCAATACTACTTTTCTAGGTTTTATAATGAGCCCATTTTTCATTTCAATTCAAAAGGTCATTCATGTTTTCTATTGTAGAAATCTCCCCACAATTACCCTTACCGATCTACTCAAATTGTTTCTCCTTTGTTTTCATCTCTAAAACGTGCTTATATATGAAGTATATGTAATTAGGAAAACAAAACGGCCTAATTTAAAATGTGTACGTACCAGAAATCGGCTGCATGACAATGGAATTGAGATTCTGGGAACACTTCAATTTCTTTCTCGATCCTGAATATAAACAAAAGAGTCAAATTCTTCATGTATTTTAGAAAGAAACATACATTTTCGAGAATTCAAAAGGTGTGTGAAGGCAAGGAACCACCTTATGAAGAATCCTCCATTACGTTTTGGACAGGACTTATTACCATCTAAATGTGTATTGAATATGGTTAATATAAAGTATAATCTGTCAACAGAAGTGAATGATAAAGAAAATAATGCATTTCAATGGTGCAGAAGTGAATGTCAATCGAAATTTCAACCTCTTCGTGAATGATAAAGTTGCTTAGAATCAGTGGTAAAAGGAAGCAAAAGGGTGCCGACACTTGGATTACTATTAATCACACCGTGACAAAACAACGATCATCATAGAAAAACAAAATTAATAAAGAAATCACTATGCAGAAGGGATAGAAGTTAATCCGTTACTGATCTTCATAATAGTCTGCAATTTAAGCAGACCCAAATTCTGAAAACCATTTCTCATGCCGTTCAATATCAGCAGCAGAAACACTTCGCTGTACTTTCTTCAATGCTTCTTCGAAGTCGCACATGGCAACAGGGTCCTTTGAAATGTCATCCTTTGCCATATTCCTAATCTCATCGCGAGTTTTTCCAGCTATTTTACGTCTCATTCCATTCAAGGAAGCATCTCTGCAGACATTTGTGAGATCGTCCCCACTATATCCTTCTGTTCGGCGAGCAACATCGTCGATATTCACATCAGGAGCCACCTACGTATGAATAATCATGATTCCTTGGCATCAAATAAGTTCATTCAGGCTAAGAAAATAGGTTATTGCATGGTAAGTTCAAATGAACAACAATTTGAACTTATGAAGTAAATAATATATAATTTTCTTGGACTAAGAATAAGAATTTCTGTCTGAACCATGATAAATAATCCTATTGGTTCAAGAATTAAGCATCTCAAATTTCACAAAGAGATGAGAATTAACATTTATCATTATGCAAGTACATTGAGTCCAACAGCATTCTGATAGTTAATTGAATAGGCACTTGATTTACCTCAACAGTTTTTAGATTTATTCTGATAAGCTCCTTCCTACTCTCAAAATTAGGAAGAGGAATATAAATACGCTTTTCAAGCCTCCTCCTGAAATAGTAGCACCAATCGAAAGAAGAAATCAACTCATAACCCCAGTACGTCTACCACGTAAATAATCAAATTTACTTGAATCAAGTGTAAGAAGACATGTTAACGGAACCAACCTAAGTGCCTCATCAATATCCCACGGGAAGTTTGTAGCAGCCAAAACCATCACAATTTTACGGCCACCATCATCGCCTGAGGAACTATTGTTTACACCATCCACCTGAACTAAAAGTTCAGACTTCACTCTTCTGGATGATTCATGCTCACCAGAAGCCCTGAAGAAAACACCTTGATGCACTTATTTTTCTTAACAAAAGTTAGGAGGGAGAGGGACAGACGTAATACTTAAGAAAAAACTTTCCATAGAAAAGAAACCATGAATCCTCTCTAATTATGTGAAGAGTCTTACCCACGAGCATTACATAAAGAGTCAATTTCATCGATAAAGATAGTACTTGGTGCATAAGCTCTTGCAAGTTCAAAAAGGCATCGAACCATGCGCTCACTCTCTCCACGCCATTTTGAAGCCAAGGTGGCAGAAGAAACATTGAAAAAAGTTGTGCCACACTCAGTGGCCACAGCTTTAGCAAGTAATGTCTTCCCAGTCCCAGGTGGGCCAAACATTAAGACTCCTTTCCATGGTCTCCTTATTCCCTGGAGGGAAAACGCAACAAGATTAATATGCATGACGCATGGACACAGATAACAAGCATATGTGATGCATGGACACAGGTAACAAGCATATGTGATGCATGGACACAAGTAACAAGCATATGTGATGCATGGACACAGGTATCAAGCATACATCACACGCGGACACAGGCAACAAGCCCACTATGGCCAACATGGTACAAAGGATACATCAACCTTACCACATGCACTCTGCAGAATAAAATTTAAAGCTAGAAGAAGTTTCAAGTTCAAAATCTGTAAAATTTCCATTTCTCTATTAATCATCTTTTCTTTTTCTTTCTTCGTTTCCGAGTACATCTATCAATCATCAGGCAGTAACTTAATAATCCCTTCTGAAGGCCGGTTGAATAGATTCCTAAATATGATTGCTGATTTCCATCGCTGAAGACTATAACACACATCAACAACAGGGACAGATAAACAAAGCATATTGATCATCACGTCATGAATATCAGCAAAAAGAGATGATTGGTTTGGTATCATTAATTTGCAAACCTATCAAGTGGCTTCATAGGTATCTAGTACACTAATTCAAGAATACCTGAAAATATTCTGGCATCCACAGGGGAAGAACGACAGCTTCCTCCAGAAGTCTTTTTGCTTCACTCAGGCCCGCAACATCATCCCATCTCACTCCTGGACTGGTCTCCAACACATCTCTTTCAAGCATAGCAGCTAAATCAGGATCAGGTCCCTCGTACTGTCCCTTCTTAGACTTTCCTTCATCATCACCATTCTAACAATACCATTCATTAGTTTAATGATATAAACATGAGGTACTGCACAAACTTGAGATTGCATGCAAAATAAAACAATAATTCATGAAATCAAACATTTTTTTTTATGGGCTTGTGCACCTATGCTTAAAACAGTTTTCAATTTTTGTTAACAAAAATAGATTTACAAACTATCATCCGATGGCTTGCATAGATTAACATTACTCGGAAGTTATTAATCACAACCCAAGATTTTGAGTGGGGGAAAAAAAAAGCAACGTCTTTAACATCTTCAAAAAAAAATCATAATAATAATAAAAGTCATCGATGAAATAAGAAATGGTTATCTGAACATGTTTCCTCTGAAATTTAATTCTGAAAACCAGAAAATTGTTTTGGAAACAACTCCTAAACTGACCCTGAATCTGCAAAATTTGAGAAAACAAATCAAGTAAAAAGGCTTAACTCTATAACTTTTGTGTACACGACAAGAAGGTGAAACGTTGCCAAGATATGGAATTTCTCAAGCATAGGAAACAAGCAAATGCCCCTAACTAAAAACCCATATAGATTGGAACACGCCAGCAATGAACTCAAAAGAAGGCGGATCATAAGTCTCATGCAAAAAAAGAAGATTTGCGCACATGCATATGATCCAAGTTCATCATGGAGGAAAAAAGAACTGAGATTAAATTTGGGCTCACGGAACTTACTGCAGAATCTGACTTGCTGGATTTACCAGTAGTACTAGCACCCTTCTTTCCAGTAGTTGATGCACGGACACCAGAGTTGGCACGACTTGAACCACCAGCCTTTGCACCACGAGTGGTAGTATTTGGTCTGGTGGAACCACGAGCCCAAGCCCCATCCTGTGGTGATTTCCTCATACCAACTTGACCAGCCCTTGCAGGTCTTCTACTTGAAGAGTCCCTACTTGGAGGCCTCCATACATCAGGATCATCCATCGGAGGAGCTGAAGAAGTTGGGTACTCATCTAATGGTTGAAAAACAAATGATGATTTGGCATGAATTGGAGGAGAAGCTGCACGCCGACCCATGGGTGTTTCCTTAAAAGCCTTTCTCTCTGCATCTAACTGCTTTACAACTTCTATCTCCTCAGAAAGGGCTTTTTTCACATTCATCCATTTTGCACGCATTAAAGGGTCATCGACTGAACTAAGGTGCCTAAAATCGATAAATCAGTGAACTTGAGTGAGAACCATACTGAAGAAGAGCATAGTTAAAAACATCAAAGATTTCAGTCGAAGGAATTCTGCAGAGCTTGATCTCCCCTGCGCTGAAGTAATATCAATCATCACTTCTTTTTTCTCTCTTTTGTTCATAGAAAATCCACGGAAAATAGAAACTAAACCAGTGGCTGTACCTGGTACTGTATGATCATTAACCAATTTATGGTCTTACCAAGACATTTGGTTCTAAACTTAACTATCCTCATAATGAACTACAAAAACCAGACTGATAAGCCCTCTCTTCCGTTACACCCTAATTTTAACAACAAATATGAAGTAATTTAGAACAACCCAACGCAGGAAATCGACAACCATTCTCCAATTTAGGGTTTTCGATTACCCAAAATAAGAAGAAACGATAACATATCTCCCTTTTAAAAATAATAAATATATAAATACGCTCGTAATTCTAACACTCGAAACAATACTCCATGGTAATGACCGCCTCGCCTCCACATTATTCCCTACATTCGCATAATGACAAAACACTGGATTTTTCTCTAATTTTAGAGCAACATTCTTTCAAATTACTCGCAGCAAACCGATAACAGTCAAATCGCATCAATCTAACTTGGCAAGATGAGAGAAAAAAACAGATTCAGTAAGAATCAGACTAGATGCACCGAATTCAAAGCAACAAAAAGATCGAAAACAAGCTCAAACGAAAATCAATTTCGTTACTACAGATGAAATTGGAAAATGTAGATGGTGGAAGAGAGATTACTTGTTGATCTGAGCTATAACACCATCAAAGAAGATTATCGAAGTGTCATACAGCCCCTCAAGAGCGTATTCCCTCGCTAATTTCAGATGGTCTTGAAACCCCACCAATGTATTGCTCCCCATTCTCTCTCAATCCGTGGCTTTCTCTCTCTCTAACTGGCAACCTCCAAAAGAAAAATCCTTCAACTCAAGTAAATGTAGAAGAAAAGAAAGCTTCAGGGACTGAGAAAATCCAAGAACCGAACTATGACAGAGACGTACGAACTTCCACAGTCTTCAAAGAATGAGAAATCAGAGAAGAAGATAAAATTACTAAAATAACCTTGGGCTTCTCAAGGAAGAATGGTCCATTATTATTCGCTTTACCTTTAGGAAAGGTTTGTTAGAACCGTTACGAACGTAGGGCCCACCCACTAAATTTTGAACTTAAATATTGGGCCAAAATGGGCCCACTAAATTTTGAAGCTAAAAAAGTTGGGCCGAAAAATGGGCCCAATCAAAATTAAAATTGAAAAGTAATGGAGGGAAGTCAACTTTATATAAACAAAAGAGTCATTAGAATGTGATGGGAGTTTTGTGTCACATTTCAATAAATATTATTATTACACAATTCTTTTTTTTTTTTTTAATATTTATTCAAATGCAGAAAGTAATCAACTTTGGTGTCTTCATCTCATCACTGTATCATTCCAGCACTGCACAACTCTTCCAAACCTTTCCTCAACCTCTCAGCAGCAGCTCGGCAATCGTCCTCCATCAAACCTCCGAACGAGATCCTGACATTCCCCGGCGACCCACAAGCAGAACCAGGGATTACAACGATCCCATGTCGTCGAGCGAGCCAAAGAACGACTTGATGATCGTCGATGAACTCGTCGGGAAGCTTGGCCCAGAGGTATATGGCACCTTCCCCTCCTTTTACAGCGCCTTGTCCTAGAGGGGTGAGTGCTTGTAGAATGATATCTCTGCACTTGACAAGCTCTTTTACTTGCTCTGTTACCCACTCCGGGCCTAACTTCAGGGAGTTTAGAGCAAGATGCTGTGATAATATTGAAGCACAGATGGGAATGTTGTCTTGAACTTTTAGAAGTTGGGCTCCAAACCCTTCAACTTCTGTAGGGTATGCTATCTGCTTGCATATTTTAATCGTTAGTTACGACTACACGACGTAAATTTACAAGAAAAAGATACGAGAATGAGAACGAGAGCGAGATGATCGATGAGCCGAGAGCACGTTACTTACGTATCCAATTCTCCATCCCATCATTCCGTAGGCTTTCGAAAAGGAGAATATATTGACGACATGATTCCCTTCGACACAAGAGTGTTTTAAGCCATCGAACATGAAGTACCTGCAACAACAAATTTCAAGAACTCAAAAAACTATCATTCTACGTTTTAAGGCGATGACGAATCTGCTCCTCAAACGGCGATGAACGGGCTGATAGTACCCTCCATTCGAGAAACGTACGATATCCACCTCAACAAGTTCCACCACAAACAGAATACTCGGTCTATCTTGATTTGTTGTTTTCCGTCAGTCCTCCAATCCAAAACATAATACTCAATCACTACTAGTAGATATTGTCCGTTTTGGCCCACTACATGTCGTCATCAACCTCACAGTTTTAAAACGTGTCTATTAGGGAAAGGTTTCCACACCCATATAAAGAATGCTTTGTTTCCCTCTCCAACCGATGTGGGATCTCACAATCCACCCCTCTTGGGGGCCAGCGTCCTCGCTGGCACACCTCCCAATGTCTAGCTCTAATACCATTTGTAACAACTCAAGCCCACCGCTAGCAGATATTGTCCGCTTTGGCCCGTTACGTATAGTCATCGACCTCACAGTTTTAAAACACGTCTCTTAGGGAAAGGTTTCCACACCCACATAAGGAATGTTTTGTTCCCCTCTCCAACCGATGTGGGATCTCACAATCCACCCCTCTTGGAGGCTAGCGTCCTCGCTGGCACACCTCCCAGTGTCTAGCTCTAATACCATTTGACAACTCAAGCCCACCACTAGCAGATATTGTCCGCTTTGGCCCGTTACGTATAGCCTTCGACCTCACGATTTTAAAACACATCTGTTCGGGAGAGATTTCTACACCTTTATAAAGAATAATTCGTTCCCCTCTCCAACCAATATGGGATCTCACAGTTCATATACACGCACGCACACGAAATGTTTGTATCATTAAACTAAAAGGAACTGCAAAACCTTAATGAACTTACTCATAGGTATTATCCACAACAAGCCAAGACCCAGCCTTTTGGCAAAGCTCTGCTAATCTCTACAAGTGCCCAAAAACAGAAGCAAAAAGTTGATTCAGGTAACAATAAAAGAGGAAACTCAAAAGCATCTGAAAACATATTGATAGCAGGAGTAACAGGGAGGCAAGAGAGTCAAAAACCTTGAGAAGAGGCTCCGGAATATAGGTGCCAGATGGGTTCCCGGGATTAACGACAGTGACGAGTTTAGGGGTCGGTTTGGCTTCAGATAATGTCTTTTCTAACCAGTCTGAAAACCGAATTACGATAACATGCTATGAGTCGAACAGCAGACAAACCATCGCTTTTAAAGGCAAGGACAAAGCAACGTCCTTGACGATAATACACGATTCACAGGCAGAAATACAACTAGTACATGAACACATGTCACCAAAATGCAACAATCAATTCGAACCATGGAAGGAAGTAACTTCTGGCGTAGTATCGTCCTCTATGGTTAATGACGAGCAACTTAAACACATAGAGGATCATCACGAACGGTACGAAGTGGATAATAAACATATTTACTCGGTGAAAGCGCATAAGAGAGTTGTGTTCTTAGAGAGTTCTTGGTTAACCCTCACCACAAAAGCAAGGGTCACATACAAAGGGCTAAAGACATAGTGCTTAGCGTTTGAATAAAGCAACATGGCTATGTATATGTAATCAACCAGTAATACTAACCTGCATCTGGATAAAGTGTTTTCGGGTCACCAGGACCGACCAATATATTCGTGACGCCAGTCATTTGGAAAGACATGTAGGCATTGAAGTAATATGGAGCAAACATAACCACAGAATCCCCAGCATCACACAATGTAAGAACGAGATTCACGAACGCCTGCAGTAAAATCGGAGTTACGTTTTACTAAAGGAAAAGAATGGTTAAAAGTACTTAACATAAGGAAGTGTTCAAAAAAGAAAGGTAATAATATATACAAGCAGAGCAAACAATTTTGATATGCACTATCATCACCTGATTTGCACCGGCTGTAACCATCACAGAGGACTTGTACAGTTTATTTTCCTGATGCAACTGCAAAACAAACAGAAGGATTTAGTAATAACATGACTCTCAAGTTCCATATTACAAACAAGAATCCAATTTCAGAGAAAGAACACGGCCCAAGCTCACCGCTCGCAGATATTGTACTTTTTGGGCTTTCCCTCAAGGTTTTTAAAACGCGTCAGCTAGGGAAAGGTTTTCACACACTAATAAAGAATACATTGTTCCTCTCTCCAACCAATGTAGGATCTCACAATCCACCCCCCTTCGAAGCCCAATGTCCTCGTTGGCACTCGTTCCCCTCTCCACTCGATGTGGGACCTCCCAATCCACCCTCATTCGGGGCCCAGCGTCCTCGCTGGCACATCGCCCGATATCCAGTTTTGATACTATTTGTAACAGCCCAAGCCCACCGCTAGCATATATTGTCCTCTTTGGGCTTTCCCTTCCAGGCTTCCCCTTAAGGTTTTCAAAACACGTCTATTAGGGAGAGGTTTCCACACACTTATAAAGAATGTTTTGTTCCCCTCTCCAACCGATGTGGGATCTCACAATCCACCCCCCTTCGGGGCCCAACGTCTTCGCTGGCACTCATTCCCCTCTCCAATCGATGTGGAACCCCCAATCTACCCCCTTTGGGACCCAGCGTCCTCGTTAGCATACCGCCTAATGTCCACCCCCATTCAGGGTTCAACCTCCTTGCTAGCACATGGCCCGGTGTCTGGCTCTGATACCTTTGTAACAACCCAAGCCCACTGCCAGTAGATATTCCTCTTTAAACTTTCCCTTCCGGGCTTCCCCTCAAGGTTTTTAAAATGTGTCTACTAGGGACACACTTATAAAGGATGTTTCGTTCCCCTTTCCAACTGATATGGGATCTCACAAAGAATAAGAAAGATATTGATAAGAAAAACAGACAAAATTTAATCATTCAACATTTCAGAAACCAATCAAGATGATGAGTTGAGAAGAGCAAAAGCCAGTAAGGTGAAAACAAATATGAACTACTCATTGTTGAAGCAAACCAATCTGGAAAATAGATAAAAGAAACATGACTTCATGTAGCAAACTCACAGATACGAAGTAGGATACAGTCACATAGAGAGCTATAAAAGGCTAGAATTTTCTAAGACTATAAGGCTGTACCAGCAGCGCCGTAACATTATAACCTCGAACGTATTATGAACGAGAGATGTGAAATTAACAATTCTGTATGTATGTTATGCATTTCAGTTCATTGGTATAATCTTATTCGGGTGCCATAAAAAATTTGCATCCACTCTTTTAGTATTAGCATCAACTTCCAATACCTTGAAAGGATTCAAAGACATACATCCAAAGACGGGCTTTCCCTGATAGGAACCACGAACCTCCACAATGGTATGATATTGTCCACTTTGAGCATAAGCTCTCGTGACTTTACTTTTGGTTTCCCCAAAAGGCCTCATACCAAAGGAGATGTTTTCCTTACTTATAAACCCATGATCATTCCTTACATTAGCCAACGTGGGACTCCCTCCCAACAATCCTCCCATCAAACAAAGTACAACCTAAAGCCTCTCCTAAGGCCTATGGAGCCCTCAAATAGCCTCCCCTTAATCAAGACTCGACTCCTTCTTTGGAGCCTTCGAACAAAGTACACCCTTTGTTCGACATTTGAGTCACTTTTTTACTACACCTTCGAGACTCACAACTTCTTTGTTCGACATTTGAAGATTCTATTGACAGACTCTCATGCCATATTAGGAACCACAAACCTCCACAATGGTAAGATATTGTCCACTTTGAGCATAAGCCCTCCGGGTTTCCCCAAAAGGTCTCATACCAATGTGGACTTTCCTCTCAACAATCCTCAACCTTCCCCCAATAGAAGGAGTAAAACAAATTAAGATAAAAATCCCAAGCCGGTAGCCTAGGAAAAGACAAGCAAGCCACCCTCACCTACCCCCATATCTATAGCAATGGTCAGAGCTGGTAAGCAAGGTAACTGTATCTAACGCCTTACCTTTCTTGTCAGCGCCTCTCTCAGCTCAGGGATACCTTCATCAGCCCCATAGCGACTGACTGAAGGCTCCCAAACAAGTTCTGCAGCCTTCGTCAATGCCTGTTTTGGAGGTTGCCAATAGACCACGCCCTACAGCAAAAGACCATATAAAAATACAAGACCATCAAGCCATGGCAGCATTGAAAACCCAATATAGACAATTTTCCTCGCTTCCCCATCATCAAAAACAAATCAAAAAACGAGTAATTGAAATGAAACTCCAACCTGGGCAAGGGACAAAACATTTGTACTTCCTCGGACAAGTTCTTGAATCTGCAAAAAAGTTCAACATCCATTGATTATTCAATAGTAATCTATTACCCTGACCAAGAAACAACCAGGCACGCACATTTAGACGAAGCAACGCACACCAAATAGGGAGAGCGTCTGATTATACCTTAACCATGATGGGCATCTCGGTCTCCAATGCCCTTCTCGCAAGCCTTCCATAAGAACCCATTTCCCTATTCACCTCCCACGCCAATCCCAACAGCTTCAATCCCCACCAAAAGACTCCTTGACTTTGAACTTACACTACTTTACCCACCGATCTCGAAAACCCACCCTGAAAACTTCCTTCAAAACTCGAAGAAATAAAAATATAGATGATTCGTAGCCCTTTTCCCGCAAGACCCACCAACCCAAAAGGCCCCAAACTCAATTTTGGGGACGAGAAAGAGTGTTTTTATATGAAGGTATCGGGATATCGGGATAGGCACGCCTTGAAGGACGCCAATATGGTAATAATAACATATGATTCTCTTCAAAGATAAGGCAAAATAAAGCCAAAAGACTTTTTGATCTCCTTCCTTTTTATTCTACTTTGGAGAGTGGGTTAATACACGCTATCGTGAACTTTTGTGCGTTACTTTGACTTCTCTGCCTCGCTCGTTACCTGGCTTTGTCCGTTTGCACGCCAGAATATTGCCAAATTTCATCCCCTTAGCTCAAATTTTCATATGGGTTCTCTCAATTAGAGGACCCCATGTAAAGAAAACTCCATTTCCACCGTTCCAACGCACAAAAACCCCCAAAAACAGAGTAAAATGAAGAACCCCTTTGGTTGAACCAAAAAAAAGCCCCCAAAACGGATGAACACTATGATTAAACAAAACAAACCCTTGTTTTGTGGTGTTATTTTCGCCAATTTGAGTGGCTAATTTGATAAGCTTATGAGAAATAAATATAATATTGAATTATAATTACCAATTTCTTGGACGGCAGAGACAAAAAGACCAGCTCTGGCTGGCCGATGGACCCGAATTGAAAAACGAAAACCTCTCACTCTCTCTCTCTCTCGTCCTTTTTTTCTCTTTTTCTTTGTCAGTGTCTGAGAGATGACAAGGAGCACTGCTGCTCTTGTCTCCTCGCATCGATCCATCTCTGCGCTCACTTTGATAAATTCATGGAACCCAGGATGGACCATTCATCTCATTTTTCATTTATTTTTTAAAACATTTCTATAAAAAAAAAAAAAACAAAAAAAAAAAACAAAGGTATTCTAAGTACTCAGTACTGATTCTTTTTGGTATACGGATTTTAAATTTATTCTTTTAGTTCTTTTATGGTGTTTCCTCCTTTTTTATATATATATATATATATATATATATATAATTAATTAAATTATACACATTTTAAAAAGTTCAAAATTTTAAAATTATTTCACAAAATACTCTCGTGATGAAGAAAATCTTGGATTTAATTCATAATTAAGTCGGTTATTTTTCGTAGTATCGATTATTTATTTAATAATATAATATTTTCTCGTGGAAAATATTTGAGAATAAGATATGTTGAAAATTAGATAATCGTGTGTTTTAGTGTTTGTAGGGTAAATGTTATATAGAAACTTTCAAACAATTTTATTAATTTTTAATTGTTTTATTTTTATTAAGTTCAATTATTTAAAATAAATATAAGTAATTTAATTTTTATTCATATTCCTCAAGTTTATTTTGTAATTTACCTTAATAACTCTCCTCAAATAAATAATTCTAATAAAATTATATAAACTTTTAATTGTGAATATTTAGTGATTAAATTAAATATTCTTATAAATCTTATATAATTATAATAATTTATTA